TTAGTCCTGGTTTAGACCTGGTTTAGTTTAGACCTGGTTTAGTCCTGGTTTAGAGTCCTGGTTTAGTCCTGGTTTTAGACCTGGCTTAGTCATGGCTTAGTCCTAGGATAAGACCTGGTTTAGACCTGGTTAACTCTTGGTTTAGACCTGGTTTAGTCCTGGTTCCTGGTTTAGACCTGGTTTAGTCTTGGTTTAGACCTGGTTTAGTCTTGGTTCAGTCCTGGTTTAGACCTGGTTTAGTCCTGGTTTAGACCTGTTTAGTCCTTTAGTCCTGGTTTAGACCTGGTTTAGTCCTGGTTTAGTCCTGGTTTAGTCCTGGTTTAGTCCTGGGTTTAGTCCTGGTTAGTCCTCCTGGTTTAGACCTGGTTTAGTCCTGGTTAGTCCTGGTTTAGTCCTGGCTTAGTCCTGGTTTAGTCCTGGTTCAATCCTGGTCCAGTCCTGGTGATCGGCTCGGCAGTTGCGGCGTGTATGTATTTATAATCCGCTAATGACACGGTGTAGGTTCAGTCCTGGTTCAGTCCTGGTTCAGTCCTGGTTCAGTCCTGGTTTAGTCCTGGTTCAGACCTGGTTTAGTCCTGGTTTAGTCCTGGTTCAGTCCTGGTTTAGTCCTGGTTTAGTCCTGGACTATTGGGCTGTCAGACTAATGACTGACCCCGATTTATCACGGGCAAGGGCGGGTAACGGGTGGAATGTTAACGGGTCTGGGCGGGTGCGGGGCTGAACTGCGCGGCCTTCTGACCGTGAGCGGGGTCGCCTCTCCACAGATCTGACCTGTAACTTGGTCTGGTTTGGTCTCCATGACGACTGAAAGGTTTAATGCCGCACTGTGAAACATTCCAGACAAACCAAGAACATCTCCACGGACCCTGCACCAGAAAAGTTCGACTCAAAAGTTGTTCAAAAAGTTGAGTATATGACACATGATCCAGATTTCTATATAAAACTAAGAGAGCGTTCCTTTCCTTCACCCGTCTCTCTCTTTCTCTCCGTCAGTCTCCCTAAGATGGAGGCGTCCGGGGGCCTCAGTTCCACACCGCTGCCCTGATCCGGGGCCCGGGCCTGGGGGTATTTTTAGCCTGAGCCGGGCTCCTTTTTAAGGCACAATCTGCGCGAATGTGTCCATGTAGAGAGCACGAGGCCAGGGCTTTTCCACACGCCGTCCACGAAGCGCAACACCGAAAGACCACAGACGAGAGGTGAAAGAGGGAGAGGAGGAGAAGAGAAAGAGAGGGAGGAGGAGAGAGGAGAAGAAAGAAGGAAAGAGAGAGAGGGGGGGGTCGTCTGTTAAAGCTGCAAAACCAAAACACAAGAGAAGAGAAGGAGGCAGAGAGAAAGACAAGGTTCCCGCTCTTTTTCACTGACAAAATTTCAAAAATTTTCATGACCTAAAGTGAATTTTCCATGACTCTACATGTGTAGAACTGATCAGACTTTTAGGGTAAATATGAAATGTTCACTCTTTCCGCTCTCCTTATGGTTTGGTATTATAGTTTTTTAAAAAAAATTCAAAATCCTGTCAATTAGGGCCGAACGATCTAACGTTTTGGATCGCTCAGACAATACGATTTATTTAGGGAGCGTCAAAGCTGCGTTTTTTTTTTTGCAGTAAGTAAGTAAGTAGCTGTTAAAGGCATTTTTTTTTTTGTTGTTGTTGTTTTTTTTTTATTAAAGCAAAGTAATAAGTTGTCTTTGTCCTTCCCACCCCCCAACCAAACAATACATATTATACCTATACTTCATACGTCATACCTAGACACACACATATATTCAAGGTTCAAGGTTCAAGGTTCTTTATTTTGTCATTCAAACATGCGAGAGAAACACATGACAGAACGAAATGTGCTCCTCGAGGCCCAGTGATCCAGAAAACAATAATAAATAAGCAATGTTAAAAAAATACATTTAAAACAACAACATTTAGCAGTTCCAGTGAACAAGTAGTAAAACGTGGCAAGACAGAGAGAGAGGCAACCAAAGCAGGAAGTCAGTGTGCACAGTTCACAAGTCTGACAGCCTCAGGAAAGAGAAGTTCTAGTTTTAATGCTCCTCAGTTTCCTCCCAGAGGCAGAGGGACACACAGGGGGTGGGAGGGTGCGAGGGTCCCCCCCATGATCCTGGAGGCCCGTCTTCTACAACGCTCCTCATAAATTTCACAGGTGGGTGTAAAGTCACATCCAGTGATCTTCTCTGCTGCTCTGACCACACGCTGTAGAGCACAGGTGTCAAACATACGGCCCGGGGGCCAGATCCGGCCCTCCAAGACCTTTAATGTGGCCCTTGGGTGATTTTCTACTAAAATATTTTAATTATATTTTCTATTAAAATATTGGTAATTTTCTGCTTGGCTGAGCATAGCAGCGTCTCCAGCGTCTCTGTACGTGGCCCCTCCCACCAGAGCAGCACAAATGAAGACTTGTCTCTTTCCAAACGCTCTTAAAGGACGATCGTTTTGACTGTTGACCGTGACACCCTCATCAACAAAATGTCAAAAATGAGAAAAGCAGACGCTGAGTGCAGGATTTTCCAAGAAAAACGGACTTATTCCTATTTGCAAACAAGTTAATGTTAAAACATTGTGTTGAAATTGTATTTTTCTTAAAGTTTCAGGTTGTTCATAATATTTTAATAGTAAAAGAAAGAGTTCATCAATTAAAAATGATTTCTGTAATAGATTTGTGTTTCTCTGCACAACTATTTGAAGTTATTGTTATTTTTTGGGGTTTATATGACATGAGTTTTCTGACCCGGCCCCTGCTGTAGATCTGTCCTGTCCTGGGCTGAGCAGTGGCCGTTCCACACTGTGATGGACTGGGTCAACACACTTTCCACTCCACATCGATAAAAAGACATGAGAGCAGGAGGCCTAGTCCAGCAGCCTCGAGTCTCCTCAAAAAATACAGACGCTGGTACGTATCCATCTACATACTGGTCCCGGTCTGGTCCCGGTCTGTCCGGGTCTCAGTCCCGCTCTGGTCCCGGTCTGGTCCCGGTCCTGGATCAGTCCTGGTTCAGTCCGTACACGGTGCAAAAGTTCGGCATCGCAGTCACGGAAGTCACGTAAACGGGAAACGGTCGTTATCCGTTTTTTCCATTCTTCATTTAAACATAAAATCGAAAACTGAAAAAAACAATCGTTATCTGTTTTTTCATTTTGGTTTTGGAGACAAATAATGAAGAAAACTGTTGTTTTTTCATTTTCTTATTTTTGGTTTTATATTGAAAAACGAATGAACGAACGACACACAGACTGATGAGTAAGTGTCACTCTAGACTCAACGTTAGCCTTTATATGTTGTCATTAAAGGGTAAACTATTGGCAGCACTTCACTAGAAATGTATTTTTTAATTTTCATTGACCCATGAACTGTGTATCGTTTTAGGAGCTCCGTGATCGTCCGGTGAGGAGCTGATGCAGGGTCTGTTACTGCAGCCACATGGCCTTGGTTCAGCCTCATGTGACGTACGACATCCTCCATGAGCAGCATCACCGCCCGTAAACGTCTCTGTCTCTGCTGCTGAGCTGATTGTGTCTCCAGAAGAACCAGGCCCGTCGTGAGCAGGTGGGAGAAGGAGCCCTGCAGCTGGAGATTCGCTCCAGTTCTTCCGGGAACAATCTAAAAGGAGGAGGCAGCCAAAAAAAGAGTCTGAGGCCAAAGAGGAGTCAGCCCTGACACAAAAGGAGAGAGGGAGCGGGTCAGAGATTTCTGTCTTTGTTTGACCAGTTAGTGAAAATATGTTGGCCTTTCTTGTGCAAATTCTCACTTCTTCTCAAAGCATTTTATTTTGAAAGAACTGTATTTCTTATTTTCTCATTAAATTATATAACAATATAATCATCTTTATTTAGTTTTTCAAGTATTTCTTTATATCCATCCATTTTCTTCCACTTATCCAGGGCCGGGTCACGGGGGCAGCAGTCTAAGCAGGGACTCCCAGACTTCCTTCACCCCAGACACTTCCTCCAGCTCCTCCGGGGGGACCCCAAGGCGTTCCCAGGCCAGCCCAGAGACATAGTCCCTCCAGTGTGTCCTGGGTCTTCCCCGGCGCCTCCTCCCGGTGGGACATGCCCGGAACACCTCCCGAGGGACACGCCCAGGAGGCATCCGGAACAGATGCCCCAGTCACCTTAGCTGCTCCACTTGATGTGGAGGAGCAGCGGCTCTACTCCGAGCTCCTCCCGTGTGACTCAGCTCCTCTTCTTTATACTGTTTTTTAATATTTGTTCAGATTGTTCAATGTCAACTGACAAGATGCAGCAACATTCTGATTCAGACAGTGAAGATGTTATGTTTCCTTTGTTAAGGGAGAAGGGAAGGAACAATTAAAAAAACAAGATGTTTAAAGTTTAACCAAAAATGTGGATTTATTATTTTACAGTGTAGGGGGAAAAAAAAAAACTAAGAAAAGTAGTAGCAAAATAAAAGAATTTAAACAAAAATGAACTATGAAATTAAGGAGCCATAATTAAGTACAAGTCGACCAGTGGAACCAATAATAAACTACATATTACAGTTTTCTGAATGTTTTGCACTGTAATATGTAGTTTATTATTGGGTTCCACTGGTCGACTGTAACGGACTGACACACTTTGTGTTTGTTTGTGTGTGTGAGAAGTGAGATGCTGCTAATGAATTGCCTTATGGGATCAATAAAGTTTTCTGAATCTGATGCATCTACTGCACAACACATCCAGTTTATGAGGTTGTGGTGTATTTTACGTGTGGGTGATGTAGATTTCTGAGCTGAGCATTGGACAAAATCTTACAGCTAACATAAGGAGGGTTAGAATAGTGCGCAGGAAACATTGCTAAAATACTCAAGCATACATGGATCCCATCTTAAACCTCTTTGTGTTTTTAATGAGGGAACAATGTGGTAGAAAGCTCTAGAAAGTTGATTTCGCAGAATACCCCATCGTTAAAGAAACATCCTCTTACTTGGAAACCACAAGCGTGACAGGAGGTTGCGGAGTTTAGCTTTAACAAACATTACACCACGCATTGACAAATAAGAAAACTCATCTTTATTTCGAACAGTAAACATTTGTAACACTTAAAGCTTTCAGTCAAACTTACATCGACACTTTTGTAAATTCTGAACCAACACAGTTTTCAGTCATTTTTGTTCACGTGCGATATGACAATCCTCGACTTTTTCCAAACCATCTTAATGCAATGAGCGGTTTTCAGACACATTTTAGGACAATAATGAAAGATTTAAGAGTAGAAAGGATCTAAACCAGGACTATGATAAGACTGAGCTAGAACCAGTCTAACTCAAGTCTAAACTGGACTAAAACGGCGCTAATGTGACATGATGAACCTCAATTTGTGTGAATTTTGTCCTAAACCTAACAGCAGGTGTGCGGCAAACTCAAACAAGGTCTACACCTGGACTCATTCAGGTCTAAACCAGGACTAAACCAGGTCTAATCTTGGTCTAACCCAAGTCTAAACAAAGTTCCATCAAAATTTATGGCTCCTCCTTTTCCCCCCCAACTTAATGTACCAGGCTGTACTTGTCTTTCTGCCAATCCAAACCAAGTCAAATCCAGGTCTAAACCAGGACTCAATCAGGTCTAACCCAGGTCTACGCCAAGTCTAGATGTACCAGAGCGTGCGTGACCTTGGGGCCCAGGCTTTGGCACTTCTGGCTGTGGGTGTAGCGAGGCCAGGAGTCCTTCTCCATCAGAGCGTACACGTGTTTCTGAGCCTCTCGGAAACACGACGAGCTGGGTTTGTCCAGAGAAACCAGGATCTTCTCCCTGATCCAGTGGTCCACGTTCACCTGGAGATCACACACAAACAAGGAAGAGTTCGAGACGCGACCGGGTAAGGAATAAAACAGGAGAGGACGAAAACAGATCTAAAGAGGATTAAAACGGATCTAAAGAGGATTAAAGCTGATCTAAAGAGGATGAAAACAGATCTAAAGAGGATTAAAACGGATCTAAAGAGGATTAAAGCTGATCTAAAGAGGAATAAAACACATCTACATAGGACTAAAACACATCTAAATAGGACTAAAACCGGTCTAAAGAGGACTAAAACTGGACTAAAGAGAACTAAATCAGGTCTAAAGAGGACTAAAACTGGACTAAAGAGAACTAAATCAGGTCTAAAGAGGACTAAATCAGGTCTAAAGAGGAACTAAAATCAGGACTAAAGAGGACTAAATCAGGTCTAAAGAGGACTAAATCAGGTCTAAAGAGGACTAAAACTGGACTAAAGAGGAACTAAATCAGGTCTAAAGAGGACTAAAACTGGACTAAAGAGAACTAAATCAGGTCTAAAGAGGACTAAATCAGGTCTAAAGAGGACTAAAACTGGACTAAAGAGAACTAAATCAGGTCTAAAGAGGACTAAAACTGGACTAAAGAGAACTAAATCAGGTCTAAAGAGGACTAAATCAGGTCTAAAGAAGACTAAAACTGGACTAAAGAGAACTAAATCAGGTCTAAAGAAGACTAAATCAGGTCTAAAGAGGACTAAAACTGGACTAAAGAGAACTAAATCAGGTCTAAAGAGGACTAAATCAGGTCTAAAGAGGACTAAATCAGGTCTAAAGAGGACTAAAACTGGACTAAAGAGAACTAAATCAGGTCTAAAGAGGACTAAATCAGGTCTAAAGAGGACTAAATCAGGTCTAAAGAGGACTGAATCAGGTCTAAAGAAAATCAGGTCTAAAGAGGACTAAATCAGGTCTAAAGAGGACTAAAACAGGTCTAAATAAGATTAAAACAGGTCTAAAGAGGACTAAAACCAACCACCAACAATTACTGTTTTTACCACTGCTGCCCCACTGTGGCACCTGGAATTCCAAGTGGTCTCCCATCCAAATACTAACCAGGCCCAACCTGGCTTACCTCACGAGATCTGACCAAGATTTACAAACAATAAAATCACTCCCTACCAAAAACATCCACAGTGCACCTAAAAAAGTAAAAGTAAATCCGTCCTGAGAGCACAGAGTCCGTACCTCTCTCTTGGCCGTGGTCAGGAGGAACTCTTGGTAGATCTGCTGAGCTCTCCTCTGCAGCTCCTCCTCTGAGCTGATGGTCCTGAAGTCCTCACAGGCCAACCAGAAGTCCAGGTTCTCCTCGCTGTACTCCGACTGAAGGAACGAGCGGAACGAGCGCTGGTACTCTGCAAAACACAAGGCTTTTACTGTGGCAGAGTGGTTAGCCTGTCTCCTCCTCTCAGTGTGACTGCTGTATTTTTCAGACTGTAAATCACACTTTTTTCATGGTTTGGGTGTTTCCTGCGTTCTGACTGCAGCCTGAAGTGACCCAAATCCGATTTTTTGGCTTCTATGTTCCTGTATCTGATCTTTTAATGACAGTCTGAACGACACAGATCCGATTTTTTTCAAATGTGACCCAGGACACTTGGATATGTGCTCCTGAAACTGATACATATCTGATCTTTTGACATGTGACTTCAGTGTGAACGGCCAAAGTGCATTCATCCACCCACACGTTACCAACAAGACACAAACGTCACTATTCTGCGCTGAAGTCGGCGAAAATTGTTGATGAACTCCGTGTCACTGAAGCGAAGCACATCACCACTCACCACTCTTGGCTCCGTCTCCACATCCACACGTTCCTTTCAACGGACGTCGCTGCCGCTGTCCCACAAAACACCACGACCAAAAACCTCGTCCTTCTCCTTCTCAATCTCCTCCTTAAAACAAGTAAGTTGTTCATGTTCTGGCTCCGGTACGAGAGGAACTTTAAAATCTCCAGGTGCTCGATGCTGCGTCCATGTTTGGACAACTTCTGTAAACACAGAGACGCTCGCTGCGGTTGACGTCGTCGTGTCTCCAGTGTCACATGTGGGACACTTTCGGGCCGTTTAATGTTCACACTGGAGTCACATACAAGTCACATTTAATTGGAAATGTGAACGACCTCGTAAAAACATCGGATTTCACAAAAAAATCGGAATTGAGCGTTAAGCCCTGCAGCCTTATACTCCAGGGTGACTTATGTATGAATATTTTCACACTAACGGCCACGAGAGGCTCTAGTCTTGTGTGTCAGTTTCTGCTGCTCCTGTTCCTCCTGTATCACTGTCAACCTGTGACACCTGGAGGATGCACCATGAAACTTTCCTGAAAGTCACTGGATGGATGGACAAAGCCTGGACTTCAGTGACATCAAAACCATCCTGTCGGGATTCAGAAAGACCCGAATAATTCTAACTGAAACTGATGCTGAGTCTGACGACAGCGACACAGAAGAGGAAGCGTCGCTCTGTTTACCTCTGGAGGTCGAGGAGTTGCTCAGAAGTGACACCGAGGATGAAGAATTGAATGGATTTAGTGATTTGGAGTGAGATGGAGAGTTTGGTTAAACTTGTTCTGTTCTGTTGTTTATGTTATAGTTTATCTGAAGAACTGTTCATATGTGACGTTAACAGTCTGAATCCGTGTGTCATTTGTTCATCCATTTTTCAAAATAAAACCAAAAATAAGAAAACGAAAAATCAACTATTTTCTTCATTATTTGTCTCCAAAACCAAAATGAAAAAACGGAAAATGTTTCGTTTTTTTTCAGTTTTCGATTTTGTGTTTAAATGAAGAATGGAAAAAAATGAATAATGTTTCCCGTTTTCATGACTTTAACTGCGATGCCGGACTTTTGCGCCGCAAAACCAGGTCTAAACCAGGACTGAACCAGGACTAAACCAGTCTCAGTCCGGGTCTCAGTCCCAGTCTGGTCCCAGTCTAGTCCTGATCTCAGTCCCAGTCTAGTCCTGATTTTGGTCCCAGTCTAGTCCCAGTCTCAGTCCCGGTCTGGTCCCAGTCTCAGTCCTGATCACCCGACAGTCTACGCGAGCACTTCTTCAAACACTCAGTGCTGGTTCAGTCCTGGTTCAGTCCTGGTTCAGTCCTGGTCCTGGTTCAGTCCGGTTTCTGTCCGTATTTGGCACAAAAGTCCGATGTCGCAATTTAAGTCGGCCGTTACCTGTCGGCCGTTATCGAAAAACTGAAAAAACAAAGCATTATCCATTTTTTCATTTTGATTTTGGACACAAATAAAGAAGAAAATAGTTTTTTTTTTTAGTTTTTTTTTCTGTTTTCTTATTTTTGGTTTTATTTTGAAAAAAACTAATGAACGAATGACACATGCATCAGTCTGTTGTTCTCTGTTCTATTATTACTAGAACTTTCAAGATGAAATGTCGGTTCCTGGTCTCTGATTTTATAAAATAAATTTCCCCAAAAAGTGCGACTTACATATGTGTTTTTTCTTCTTCATTACACATTTTTTGTCTGGTGTGACTTATACTCCGGAGCGACTTATCGTCCGAAAAATAGGGTTTGTTGTGGTTTAGACTCCTGATCTCTGTGAGTGGAGCGTGCGTGTTCTCCCTGTGCTCCTGTGGCAGAGTGGTTATCCTGTCTCCTCCCCTCAGTGAGGAGGTTGTGGGTTGGATTCCCTAGGATAAACTCTAAAACGTTTTCTTACCTTTGTCTTGCAGAAGTTGCTCCAAAGACGGTTGGAGGGTACAGTCAGGCTTCAAACTGCAAAAAAATACAATAAAATAAACATTTTAATATTGGTACAAGCAATAACATGAATTAAAACATAAACTTAACTTAATAAATAGTAATAATAATAATATTTCTTGTTGTTGTGGGTTTAAAAGCAGCTGTGACTAGAACTATTTGGAGAAGGAGGAAGTTTGAGAAGTCTAGAATTGCACTGGTTTCCTGCTTTTTATTTTTAAACATGTGAGTGTTCGAAAACTTTTGACCGATATTGTACTTGGAAAAGGGTGGAGAGCTGCTGGATTATATAAATGCTTACGTACATTTTTAATTTTGCTTATTTAAAGGGAGAATGCGTTTAAGTAAATATGACAAAATCAGCCCAGTTTTTTTTTTTTTTTTTTTATTTTGCACATATAACATGACAATAAAAAGAAACACACTAGATCAGGCATGTCCAAACTACGGCCCGGGGGCCAAATGCGGCCCTCAGACAAATTTTTCTTGGCCCTCAGACTTCCAGGTGAATTGCCCCAAATTACCTTGCATCAATTAAAATAAAATATTTTTTTACTGCAAGTTGTTGGAAAATCTACCTTGATAAAGCTCATATTTAATATTTAGTTTGTGGTTTTAAGGATCTTAACGTGAATAAAGTCTGATAGTTCATTCTAACGTGTTAAACATGCAGATATTTCAATTATTCACTGTACTGAGCATCAGTCTGTGGCCCTCGATCAACCCTCTGCTTCATCTGTGTTTAGATATGTGGCCCTTGATGAAAAAAGTTTGGACACCCCTGCACTAGATGAAAAGTAGGTGCTGGAAGAGGCAAAAAACCCAATAGGGCGAAATATTAAAGCCTCCACCTTATGAATACATTAAAACTTTTACAGTATCATTGTGCATAAAAATGTATATATATATAAATATTACATTTAACCACCATGCATTAAACCAGGGGTGTCAAACTCATTTTGGTCCGGGGGCCGTATCCAACCGACTTTGATCTCAAAGGGGTCGGATCAGAAAACTCATGTCATATAAACCCCAAAAATAACAATAAGTTCAAATATTTGTGCAGAGAAACACAAATCTATTACAGAAATCTTTTTAAATTTTTGAACTCTTTCCTTTACAAAATATTGTAATATTATGAACAACCTGAAACTTTAAGAAAAATGCAGTTTCAACATTTTAACATGAACTTGTATGTAAATAGGAATAAGTCAATTTTTTTTTTTAAATCCTGCGCTCGGCTCCACTTTTCTTATTTTTGTCATTTTTCTGATGAGGGTGTCACGGTCAACAGTCAAAACGATCGTCCTTTAAGAGCGTTTGGAAAGAGACAAGTCTTCATTTGTGCTGCTCTGGTGGGAGGGGCCACGTACAGAGACGCTGGAGACGCTGCTGTGATAAACACCACAGAAAATTAACAATATTTTAATAGAAAATATAATTAAAATATTTTAGTAGAAAATCAGCCGAGGGCCAGATTAAAGGTCTTGGAGGGCCGGATCTAGCCCCCGGGCCGCATGTTTGACACCTGTGCATTAAATTCTTTTGATTCAAACATGGATTAAAACACAATAAAAAATCCACAATTGAAAGATTATCAAACATTAGCATAAAATATCAAACATTTCCTCAAACTCTTTTTAAGCAACGCCTCTGATCTGTCGTCACTAACCAGACGTGAAACCTGCTCCAGAATTTACAAACTCTGTATCGAAGCAAAACTGAGCTCTTGATGTGACAAATTTTGGAACACGAAAATTATGAATTTGACGAGTTTTGTATCTATGAATCTCTGCATTAGTTTTAAAATAAAATGTGAAATGTTCGGGGATCGTTGTTGAATTGTAAAGAATTTTATACATAAAAATAAAAATTTGATAAATATTAATCCCATAAATATTAAGAATGTTAAGTTTAGTAAATAAATGAGCAGACGATGTTAGTGGCATAGAATGAGTTGCAATTCGAACAAAACGTTTCTATGTGTCGTCCCTGGAAACGGCATTTACGCTGTTCACACGTTCACTAAAGTACACACAGTACACACGTTACAACCAGTACTGTGTGTACTGTGTGTACTGTGTGTACTGTGTGTACTGTGTGTACTGTGTGTACTCTGAGGTTCAGTGACCGCAGACCTGGTTCCTCCTGAGTCTGGTTTGATTTTCATTTTTAAAGTGTGAGAATTTCCCTGAGAGCAGAAGATCAGGACAAAACAAGGACTAAACCAGGTCTGAACCAGGACTGAACAAGGACTAAACCAGGTCTAAACCAGGACTGAACCAGGACAAAACAAGGACTAAACCAAGACTAAACCAGGACTAAACCAGGACTGAACCAGGACTGAACCAAGTCTAAACAAGGACTGAACCAGGACTAAACCAGGTCTAAACCAGGACTGAACCAGGACAAAACAAGGACTAAACCAAGGACTAAACCAGGACTAAACCAGGACTGAACCAGGACTGAACCAAGTCTAAACAAGGACTGAACCAGGACTAAACCAGGTCTAAACCAGGACTGAACCAGGACAAAACAAGGACTAAACCAGGACTGAACCAAGTCTAAACAAGGACTGAACCAGGACTAAACAAGGACTGAACCAAGACTAAACCAGGACTAAACCTGGACTGAACCAGGACTAAACAAGGACTGAACCAAGACTAAACCAGGGCTAAACCAGGACTAAACCAGGGCTGAACAAGGTCTAAACCAGGACTAAAACAGGTCTAAACCAGGACTGAACAAGGATTAAACCAGGTCTAAACCAGAATTGAACCAGGACTGAACAAGGACTAAACCAGGACTAAACCAGGACTAAACCAGGTCTAAACCAGGACTAAACCAGGTCTAAACCAGGACTAAAAACCAGGACTGAACCAGGACTAAAGACTAAACCAGGACTAAACCAGATCTAAACCAGGTCTGAACCAGGACTAAACCAAGACTAAACCAGGACTAAACCAGGGCTAAACCAGGTCTAAACCAGGACTGAACCAGGGACTAAACCAGGACTAAACAAGACTAAACCACTAAACTAAACCAGGACTAAACCAGGACTAAACCAGGACTAAACAGGACTAAACCAGGTCTAAACCAGGACTGAACACTAAACCAGGACTAAACAGGACTAAACCAGACTAAACCAGGACTAAACCAGGACTAAAACCAGGTCTAAACCAGGACTTAAACCAGAACCAAAACCAGGTCTACTAAACCAGGACTAAACCAGGATTAAACCAGGCTAAACCAGGACTAAACCAGGAACCAGGACTAAACCAGGACTACTCTTGGACTTGAGAGCGAGAGAGAGACAGAGAGAGAACCCAAAGCCCGTGGAGCAGGGTGTCCGCACAGAGCGATCAGGCGACGACTGACACCGATCCTTTCGCCTGCGGTCACCGACAGCCTACGCGGGCACACCTCCGGGCCCGTGCCGACACTCAGTCCTGGTTTAGACCTGGTTTAGACCTGGTTGAGACCTGGTTTAGTCCTGGTCCCTCATGTCTCAGGTCACTACAGGACAGTAGTGCAGACATCATGAGCCTGTGCAGGTTGTTTTCACCAGTGCCAGTAGCTCCGGTTTGACATTTAAGTTGCTATTTTATATTTCTTATTTTGTATTATTTGTTATATTATACGTCAAACCGGAATCAAAACCAAACGAAATCAAAACCAAGCAATAATTTGGCACATTGCGTAAGACTTAAATTGTCTGACAAGCAACAGATTTAACATAAGGTGACCAGATGTCTCTATTTACCCGGGACAGTCCAAGTTTAGAGCCAAAACCAGCGATTTGTCCCAGTTTTAAACAAAAAATGTCCCGATTTTTGACCAATTTGATCAGTAAAGAGAGGCATATATTGACATTTGTTTAGGTAAAATACGGAAAAGCCGCTTGAAAACGACGACAAAATGTGACTATACCGACTCAAATGTATAAGAAATTTCCTTAATTACGCACTCGTTTCACTATTTTATTATTAACAACCACCAAAAAAAACCTCGCAATGCCCCATTTTTTTTTATTTTGAAATTCTGCTCACTCTAGATTTAAAGACTTGACAAACAGACAAAGAAAAACTAAACCAGACATAAAAAGTTTTACAATTAAACAGATAAAAAAGTGATTTTACACACTACCGTTTTGTCTTGTCCAGAGTTGCCTCACACCAAAAAACCCCGCCGCCGTTATCGACATCTGCACGATTATTATCAGGATTATCGCGAGGATCACACGCGAGCACTGACCTGTGACTTTTCCAGCGCGTTTCATGGTTCATTTTGCGCACCATAACGCACCGCACCGCCTCATCTTTGTGCGCTCTTCTGCTCAGGATGAAGTCCAACCTGCCACGGAACAAACACAACTTTACTGAAGAGGAAGAGGAGAAAAGAAAAGAGGAAGTCGGCTCACCAGGAAGAGGAAGGAAAGGCGAGGACACGGCCGTACACTTTTACACAGAAAGAAATTAAAAAAGGGCTTTGTGAAGTTTTAGACGACGTGTTCTACAAATGACTACAGAAAGATATGGACTCTGTTTGTTGCCGTGAACACAAATTAAAAGGCAATTTATTTAAAAAAAAGAGAGAATACACTGAAATCTAGATGAAGAAACCAAGGAAATTTTCTCAGTTTGACCAGATTTTGTCAGAGTTACTGTCGCCAACACAAAAAAAAGTCGTCATCCGCATGTTTCCAAACGTCTTCTGGTTTTGTGCAAAAAAAAAAAGCCAGAAAATGAACTGATTAAAGGGTTAAAATGGACATATAATGGCATATTTGTGATTCTAAAACTATCAAAGACATAAGAGATTATTTTAAGAGAAAATTACGATGAAAAAACTCCAGTCCCACGTTGATTCACTGCAGTGACATCAGGCTGGGGGTGTTCTACATGTAGGGATGTAACAATCACAGAAATATCATGACAATGTAATAATAAAATAATAATAAAAAACATAAAAATAATATTGTGGACTGTCACAATCTATCATAATTTTTTTATTTTATTTTTTGCTTAAATTAATAGTTTTGGTGCAGCAATAGAAAATAAAAAATAAAATAAAAACTGAAGTACATATACCATGATCGATGGAAGCCCATTTCCGCCAGTAAATAAAAATATTAAAGCCTCACAGAAAGTCATAATTATGAGTTTATAAGTCATAATTCACGAGCGAGGACCACACCAACAACGACATAGTTCGAAGAAGCAGGAACAGGAAAACCTAAAATCCGCCATATCAGACCCACTGTAAAAGGAACAACCACATTATGGATCGGGACGGGGCTCGGGATCATTGGATCGGAAAACAACAAGTTCAAACGCTGGATCAAGGAGGACGGTGAAATCAGGAAACGAGGCACGGACAGCGTTAACCGTGATGACGGAGCGTTCCTCCTTTCACACACCTGGGACACCCTCCTCCAGAGACACCGGGCGACGGGAGGCGTGGTCAGTCTGAGCGACCTGCAGGTCCATCAGGTCTGACCTACAGGAAGTAACAACAGCTGATACACGACACGTCACCACCAACACCGAGGACAGTTCTGAAGATGACTCGCAGCAGCAGCCGAAACATGTCAACAAGGTAAACACACTTTACTGCATTGTCTTTAAAAAGAACCTAAGAAGTTATAGTGCGAAGAAGTTTATTGATAATGTACGGAGCGGGACAGAGATGACTGGGCTGAGACTCTGGGTGGGGGCTTCGTCTCAATCTACAATTATCCCAGCCGGAACAGGACCCCCCTTGAACGGGTCTTACGATTGAAAGACAAAATAGACGATGGCGAGGGCGGGGTCGAGTTCGCCGAGACCAACTGGGATGATGGAAAAGGCTGCTACGTATTGGCTTCTAAAATGAATTAGAAATGAAGGAAATTCGAGGCGAGGTGGAGGTGAGTTGTGGTTCGCTGGTGAGAGGAGAGGGCGGCTGAGGCGTCGACCTGCTCCTGAATCTCTCTTAAAGGTTGTATGGAGGATTTTTTTTTTGTTTCAAATTGTCAATGAAAGTTTAAAATACCATTACAGAGACGCAGCAGCCTTGTAATTACGATGACCAAAAAAAAAAAAAGAATGAAAATTTATCAACTGTGGACGTGTTGAGGCCAGATAAACATCAGCCAATAGAAAACGAGGCTGCCTCTTTACCTATTGGCTGTCAGGTCATCAATCAAACTCCCTACGTTTCTAGTGTAATTGACTCGTCGGGATGCAGGGATCACGTGGTTTATGCAGCGGTTCTTAGAGGCTTTTTCAAACTGTCACTTCCTCACAAAGTTTGTTGCGATGGCGGACGAGAATCCACGACCAGTTCGCCGCAAAAGAAAGTCGGTTCTTGAGGTCGCTGAAAGAAGAAGAGAAGGGGAAAAGGAGCGAAGACAAACTGAGGTGATTCTTGGAGATTCCTTCCAGCGATTGCGCGAGTGAAGCGGACGAAGGGTCTAAAAACTCGCATGCACAACATTTGTAAAAGAACTGTCGCTGTATTTCTCTTCCCTTAAAAAAATCCTCTATACAACCTTTAATCGTATTAACGACATTTATGACTTTTCTAGCAAGTCCTCACACAGGTGCAAATGTAAGGAATAGTAAAAGAAAAGTGAAAAAATACACAGCACACCCAAAGAGCCAAAAATATCTGACATATGCTGTGGTCCAAGGTAGGGACGGGCATTCGATGAAATTTTCTTAATCGATCGTCGGAAGAATTAACGATCAATTATCGATTAATCATTAACGTTTTTATATTAAAATGATCATCATTATTATTACTATCTGCACTACTAATCTGCATAAATAAATTCAACTTTACGACATATAAACCGTAACGATTCTAGAGCCACATCAGCCCGTTTGACATTATAATGTGTTTAATTCAGTTTTGTTCAAATCTCACAGAAACAAAACTTAAAACCACATCGCTAATTTGCATAAACTCAGCGAAGATAAAACTCCAGCTCTTGTGTCGCTGATGTGGTTCAACTTCTGTTGGATTAAAAGACATGACTCAGGTGAATACAGGTTAGTGTGACCAGATTTGCGTTTGTCAAAACCAGGACAGCGTACGGGGGGAGGGAGGCGGGGCCTCGTCATCCACATTGAGCGACTCTCACCTGGTAAAACTTTTTCCCACTGGACACAGAAACATATGTGCTGCTTTATACACTGTGCACATGGACTCACACTTGTCCCAACGCAACGGAAAGTGTGGAATTTCTTGTACAAATCATCGTTAAATCCACATTTGTGCTTCGGTTCGTTACAGACTGACCCACTGTTTGTGTCTCGCTCCTTCTGATGCAGAGACACATGTACACACCTGTTTGGTCACGACACACACAGCAACCTACATTCAGTTTGTCAATTAAAATGAACGTAATCGATGAAATTCTTAATGATCAATTATCGATTAACCGACTAATCATGCCCATCCCTTGTCCAAGGCAAGAAAAATATATGACGGCTTTTTTTGCCAAAACGTTATTTATTTATTTATTTTTAAAAAAGCTTTTGAACATCAGCTGTCTGTTTGTGCAGTGCAATTTATTTATTTATTTATTTTATTTTTTTCTTTCGTGAAGGTACTGTACTAGCCATTATCTAAGCCCGGTGTGTCATGACCCATTTTGCTCTAAATTTTAACTTTAGCAGCAGCGAGAATCAACTCTACACAACAAAGGAATCCAACAAACATGGATAGAAAACATCTTTGTCTTTGTTAGTCTTTGTTCATGTTTAATTAAAGCTAAATAAGGTGCAGTTATTATTGTTACCAAACGTTCAACCATAAAACGTTCTGTACACATGATGTCACTTTTCCACGTGTACTGCTGAGTTTTTTTTAAATCCAAAACAAACACCTCCAGCTTTAAGAACATCTCCGTCCAAACCACAAAGGCCTGAACCTGATTGAACTTGATTGAGAGTTTATCATCTTGCATAACGAACTCTGATTATATAAACATTTGAACATTTAATTTGCCAAGCGGAACACGGATGAGAAAAGTAATATTTGCATAAACTGTAGTACTAGTAAAAGTACTGACTCAGCAACAGCTCAGGTAAACAAAGTCTGTACTACTCACATACTCGAGTAAACTTTTAGAGATTTATGAAACTATTACATTAAATAACTCAAAGCTTTTGTCACTTGTAGTAGTAGTAGTAGTAGTAGTAGTAGTGTTAGAAAAATACTCTTAGAAGTACTTTTCTTCTTACTTATTAACTTAAATTAAACAGTACAGAAGTTACGTTTACTTGAGTAACTTTTTAAAGAATTTGTACTTTTTCGAGTGGTTTTCTAGCAGCAAACTTTTACTTCTACTTGAGTAATATTTTTATTGAAGTAACAGTACTCTTACTTGAGTAAAAGTTGTGGTTTTTCTTTCCCCTCTGAGTAAATCTAAAGTGACAAAAGCTTCATGTGACAAAATTAAATAATAGAACTCACTCAAGTTACTCTTACTACAAATACTTAATACTTTTTGTTTTTCTTAAGCAGATTATTTTTAAGTAAAGTTACTCTTACTTAAGTACAATTCAACCTTCGCTTATAAACACTGGTTGCTTCAAATAAAATTACCCAAGTAGAAAACAAAGTTCAATGTCAGAAAAATATTCTTAAAAGTACTTTTCTTCAATAACTTACTTGTAACTTGATTGAGTAATATTTTTTATTGAAGTAACAGTACTCTTACTATTTTTATAGAAGTAAAAGTACTCTCACTTGAGTAAAAGTTGTGGTCCCTGAGAAAAACTTTATGTAAACAAAACAAGCTGATAGTTACTCTTACTTTAGTAGCTGTTTCCCTAAATACTTACAGAATTACAGAAGTGGGTAGTGCTTAATTAGATTTACTCAATCTTAGAGTACTTTTCTAACAGTATATGTTTACTTCTACTTGAGTAATGTTTTTATTGAAGTAAAAGTACTCTCACTTGAGTAAAAGTTGTGGTTCTTGTGAAAAACTTGATGTTGACAATATGAAATGATATAAATCAGATGTTACGTCCTGACAGTTACTCTAAAGTTACTTTTACTTAATAGTTTTTAAACTCTTATTTAAATAATTTGTTAAGTAGATTATTTTTAAGTAAAGATACTCGTACATAAGTACAATTCACCTTCACTTATCAACACTGATGGGTAAAATAAAATGATCCAATTAGAAAACAAAGTAAAACAAAGTACAGTGTTAGAAAAATACTCTTAAAAGTACTTTTCTTCAATAACTTACTTGTAACTTATTTGTAAACAATACTCAAGTAAACTAAGTACAGAAGTGGGTAGTACTCAGTTAGATTTACTCAGTTAGATTTACTTGACTTAACTACTTTTCAGAGTACTTTTCTAACAGCATACTTTTACTTTAAGTAATTTGTTTCATTTAAAGTAAAGTAACTCTTACTTGAGTACATTTTTTTGGCTACTCTAACCGCTTAAGTATGAGTAGTGTAAGTACTATACGAAGTTCAATTTGTACTCAAGTAAACGAAGTACAGAAGTGGGTAGTGCTCAATTAGATTTATGCAACTACTTTTCTAACAGCAAACTTTTACTTCTACTTGAGTAATGTTTGTATTGAAGTAAGTTTTTTTTTTTTTAAACTACTTTTTAAGTTATTTCTTAAGCAGGCTATTTTGAAGTAAAGTAACTCTTACTTGAGTACAATTTTTGGCTACTCTGATGACATTCGCTTATAATTTATTGAGTAGTGTTACTTAAAATATTACACATAAAAAGTACAGTATTAGAAAAATACTTTTACAAGTACTTTTCTTCAATACCTTACTTGTAACTTATTAGTAAACAGTACTCAAGTAAATGAAGTACAAAAGTGGGTGGCGCGCAATTAGATTTACTCAACTACTTTTCTAACAGCATACTTTTACTTCTACTTGAGTAATGTTTTTATTGAAGTAAAAGTACTCTCACTTGAGTAAAAGTTGTGGTTCCTGAGGAAAACTTTACGTTGACACTAGCAGTTTCTTTTTTACTATTTTGAAGTAAAATAACTTGTACTTGAGTAAAATTTTTGGCTACTCTGACCACCTTCGCTTAGAAATATGAGTAATGTTTCTTCAAATATTATGCAGAAAAAGTAAAGTGTTAGAAAAATACTATAATAATAGAAGTACAATTTGTTCACTTACACGTAACTTACTAGTAAACAGTACTTAAATAAACTAAGTACAGAAGTTATTACTACAGTTATTACTTGCTAAGTACTTTTTACTAGAAGTACAGTTTGTTCACTTACACGTAACTTATTAGTAAAGAGTACTCAAGTAAACAAAGTACAGATGTGGGTGGCGTGCAATTAGATTTACTCAACTACTTTTCTAACAGCATACTTTTACTTCTACTTGAGTAATGTTTTTATTGAAGTAAAAGTACTCTCACTTAAGTAAAAGTTGTGGTTCCTGAGAAAAACTTTATGTTGACAATAAGAAATTAATTAAGTTAATATAAATCATTTGTTTTACTATTTTTAAGCATTTTGAAGTAAAGTAACTCTTACTTGAGTACAATTTTTTGCTACTCTGACCACCTTTGTTTATAAGTTTGAGTAATGTTACTTCAAATATTATTTAAGAAAAGTACAGTGTTAGAAGAATACTATTAAAAGTGCATTTTTTTCACTTACACGTAACTTATTAGTCAAAAGTTCTCAAGTAAACAAAGAAACTAGATTTGAAGACATAGAATAAACCAAAATGTTGATATTATTTGTTCCGTTGTGTAATATTCTCACCGTTTCGGCCTCTTGGCTCCACTGATCAGATCCTTAATGTCGTAAAACCTGATTTTTGAGAACAACATTTTGGGCATGTTTCCATCCTCGGGCCTCTACGCTGAAGTAAGAGTCGGTTCAAACCTCGACTCTCCTCGTTTTACTTCAATCTCCAGAGGAAAAAAAGACGATCTGTGACGTTTTTGAACAAGCCGCTACAGGTCTGCGGATGCCTTTGCTACGTACGCACCAGACAGTCCCGAGGCACCAGTCAGGAGGAGTTTGTGAACGAGAAAATGGACTTGAATTCGACGTAAACGTGCCTCCGTGTGCGTTATAAAAGTGTAGAGTTGTTTGTAAAGGTTTAAATAGACACGAGAGGTTGATGTGTACAGAAGGAGGAGCGTTGTAAATTATCTAACGGTTTTGTAACGTTACCAAAGTGATTAAAGGAACTATACGTAACCTGTGCTCTTACATGTATAAAAATGTACCACAACCAGTGCTGGGAAGGTGACTTTTAAAATGTAATCCCCTACAGATTACAGATTACATACACCAAAATGTAGTTTGTAACAGAATTCATTAAGTTATTTAAAGTGAGTAATGTAATCTGAATACTTTGGATTACTTGATTTGTTGTAGAGAAGCAAAGACGAGGAAATCTTCACATAAGATGTTTTGTCTGATAAAAGAAAATGAAAAGACCAGATTTTACTGAACCAAATTAAAAATATTATTGATAGAAGAGACACATCCACACAGCATGATTTAGTCCTGTTTTAGTCCTGGTTTAGATCTGGTTTAGACCTGGTTTAGATCTAGTTTAAATCTAGTTTAGACCTGGTTTAGACCTGGTTTAGTCCTGGTTTAGACCTGGTTTAGACCTGGTTTAGTCCTGGTTTAGTCCTGGTTTAGACCTGGTTTTAGACCTGGTTTAGAAGTTTTTAGATTTAGACCTGGTTTTTCCTGGTTATCCTGGTTTAGACCTGGTTTAGATCTGGTTTAGATCTGGTTTAGACCTGGTTTTGGTTTACCTGGTTTAGTCCTGGTTTTAGACCTGGTTTTAGACCTGGTTTACTGGTTTAGAGGTTTTAGATCTGGTTTTAGATCAAGTTTAGACCTGGTTTAGATCAAGTTTAGACCTGGTTTAGTCCTGGTTTAGACCTAGTTTCCTGGTTTTCCTGGTTTAGACCTGGTTTAGACCTGGTTTAGATCAAGTTTAGACCTGGTTTAGATCTAGTTTAGACCTGGTTTTGTCCTGGTTTAGATCTAGTTTAGACTTGGTTTAGATCTAGTTTTGTCCTGGTTTAGAGACCTGGTTTTTAGATCCTGGTTTTAGACCTGGTTTAGACCTGGTTTAGATCAAGTTTAGACCTGGTTTAAGACCTGGTTTAGATCAAGTTTAGACCTGGTTTAGTCCTGGTTTAGACCTGGTTTTAGACCTGGTTTAGATCAAGTTTAGACCTGGTTTAGATCTAGTTTAGACCTGGTTTTGTCCTGGTTTAGTCCCGGTTTAGACCTGGTTTTAGATCTGGTTTAGACCTGGTTTAGATCTGGTTTAGATCAAGTTTAGACCTGGTTTAGACCTGGTTTAGTCCTGGTTTAGACCTGGTTTAGATCTGGTTTTAGACCTGGTTTAGACCTGGTTTAGATTTTAGACCTGGTTTAGACCTGGTTTAGACCTGGTTTAGACCTGGTTTAGATCAAGTTTAGACCTGGTTTAGATCTAGAGTTTTAGACCTGGTTTAGATCTAGTTTAGACCTGGTTTAGACCTGGTTTTCCTGGTTTAGACCTGGTTTAGTCCTGGTTTTAGATCAAGTTTAGACCTAGTTTAGACCTGGTTTTGTCCTGGTTTAGACCTGGTTTAGATCTAGTTTAGACCTGGTTTAGATCTAGTTTAGACCTGGTTTTGTCCTGGTTTAGCCCCGGTTTAGACCTGATGTGCTCTGTAACCCTGGCTTCATTTATTTAAAGTGTATTATTTTGTCCGTTTTATCCGGGGCCGGGTCACGGGGGCATCAGTCTAAGCAGGGACTCCCAGACTTCCCTCACCCCAGACACTTCCTCCAGCTCCTCTGCGGGGACCCCAAGGTGTTCCCAGGCCAGCCCAGACCCATAGTCCCTCCAGTGTGTCCTGGGTCTTCCTCTCGGTGTCATCCAATATAAATCTAACTTTCCTTTTATAGAAAATAGCTGTAAGAATCATCAGCGAAGAGACTCAACAAACCCAATATTTAAACCTTTAAAAATACCGAAATTCAATTAATTGGGAGAACTTCATATTTTAAAAATTATATATAAAGCAAATCAGCAAATCTTATTCAGCAATGTCCAAAGAAAATGTACAAAGAGACCGGTCTTGGTCTTGAGACTGGCCTCACGACTTTTTTTTTTTGCGGTCTTGATCTCGTCTCAGACTCAACTGCGTTTGGACTCGGTCTCGTCTCGGTCTTGAAGGCGCTTGGACTCAGTCTTGAAATTGCTTGGGCTCAGTCTCGGTCTCGGAGGCGTTTGGACTCGGTCTCGTCTCGGTCTTGAAGGCATTTGGACTCGGTCTTGTGTCGGTCTTGAAATCACTTGGACTCGGCCTTGTCTCAGTCTTGAAGGCGTTTGGACTCGGTCTTGTCTCAGTCTTGAAGGCGTTTGGACTCGGTCTTGTCTCAGTCTTGAAGGCGTTTGGACTCGGTCTTGTCTCAGTCTTGAAGGCGTTTGGACTCGGTCTTGTCTCAGTCTTGAAGGCGTTTGGACTCGGTCTTGTGTCAGTCTTGAAGGCGCTTGGATTCGGTCTTGAAATCGCTTGGGCTCGGTCTCGGTCTTGAAGGCATTTGGACTCGGTCTTATCTTGGTCTTGAAGGCGCTTGGACTCAGTCTCGTCTCAGTCTTGAAGGCGCTTGGATTTGGTCTTGAAATCGCTTGGACTCAGTCTTGTGTCAGTCTTGAAATCACTTGGACTCAGTCTCGTCTCAGTCTTGAAGGCGTTTGGATTCGGTCTTGAAATCACTTGGACTCAGTCTCGTCTCAGTCTTGAAGGCGCTTGGATTCGGTCTTGAAATCACTTGGACTCAGTCTTGTGTCAGTCTTGAAATCACTTGGACTCAGTCTCGTCTCAGTCTTGAAGGCGCTTGGATTCGGTCTTGAAATCGCTTGGGCTCAGTCTCGGTCTTGAAGGCATTTGGACTCGGTCTTGTCTCAGTCTTAAAGGCGCTTGGACTCAGTCTTGTGTCAGTCTTGAAATCACTTGGACTCGGCCTTGTCTCAGTCTTGAAGGCATTTGGACTCGGTCTTGTCTCAGTCTTAAAGGCGCTTGGACTCAGTCTTGTGTCAGTCTTGAAATCACTTGGACTCAGTCTCGTCTCAGTCTTGAAGGCGCTTGGACTCGGCCTTGTCTCGGTCTGACACTCAACGATAAAATGAAGTTGGTACATTTATAAAAACATTGATATAAATGTGCCAAAATAACTGTAAAATACAAATACATGCTGAAAATGACCAAGATGGTCTCGGTCTCGGCCTTTGAAAGTCTCAGTTGTCTCAGTCTCGGTCTCGTCCTGGTCTCGTGACCCTGTGGTCTCGGCCTGGTCTTGGTCTCAATCAGTGTCGTCTACACTAGAACACCACCTTTACCACCTCGTAACCAGCAGATGGCAGTGTAAGCTCATCATTTCCTGCTCGTACGTTCAGTATAATCAAAGAAAAACCACAAAACAAAAACAGCAAAACGTTTTATTACGAAAATAAGACAGAACACAATCTCAACACTTCTCCTTCGTTTTCGTTCATGCGATCAAAGCTTATTCAAACTACACATAGACCCGTCATGATAATAACTTTTAAAGACCAATATATTGTGATATTGAAACTAATTTATGCCACTGAGACAAAAAACCCAAGAGGAGTACCTAAATAAATCAAAATCTACAATATTTTTCATGAGCTGCAGTAAATAAACAGCAGAACAAAGCATTTCAGTTCTTAGTTTGCATCTGTTTTGAATCGTAGAAGTTATAAATTCAGTCTTTATACCTCAAATCTTATTGTATAGCTAAAAAAACAACCAAAAATTTCATACATTTGATAAATATTGACCCCAAAAATGTATTGTTCCAGCTTTAGTCGATGCAGAAATTATCGTGACAGGCCTAACTACACATGCAGGTTTGGATGTTTGCCCGGGTTTAACGTTAAATTTACAGACCTAGTCCAAGAGAGAGCACCTACACTGCAAAAGAGTGTATCTATACAAGTTATTAACATGTCAAAAACAAAAAGAAAAAAAGTTTAGATGGACTTAAAAGGCCTGTACGTGATTTTAACTCATTCTCGTCAAGATATGCTCATGATAAAAGCTGTTGAAGAAGAAAAAATCTACTCATTTGACACATTTCCTCTTGTAATAACTAAAACAGAAGCTGCAGATTGAGGGTGACCAGATTTTCAAAATAAAAAACTGTGACACTGTGAAGCGAGTGCGTAATTAAGGAAAAATGTAGGGCCATTCATGTGTTAGTGGTCACATTTTCTTTGAGTTTTGGTCGTTTTTTAAGCAGATTTTGTGTATTTTACCGACAAAAATTACAACTTATGCTTCTTTTTACTGTCGGCAAGGATCAGATTTGGACATTTCTGGAATAAAACTGGGATAAATCAGTTTTATTTTTTGATAAATCCGTTGGGACACGGGACAAAACTGGGACTGTTCCAAGTAAACAGAGACGTCTGGTTTATTTTATTGTCCAATCAGGTGAGTTATAACTAAGAATTATAATAAACTGACTCCCCAACCTTAACCTAGACACTTTATTCTCTGTCGTGGTGCATTTTCAAGTTATAAATACTAAGTAGAGAAGTGAGAGGTAAAAGGAAATGACAGAATCTATTCGTGCTTATGTCACAAACCAGGAAAACGTTTGGAAAGATGCGATGCCAACTTCCGGCAATTTCTGTTCGCTGTAGTAAGTCTGACAAAACCTAGGAGAAATGAAAAAGTTTTCTTCATCTCCGTGTCATTGTTGCGTTCCGTTATGTTCGGCTGATCAATGATTCCAACCATACCTCAGTTTTCATCATTTCCCCACTGACGAACAACTCCGAGCGCACTGGGTAGAAGCGACGAGGCGCCAAATTCAAGATGATTCCAAAAAAGCACGTACGTCTACAGTCTTCATTTTAACGCCGATCACATTTACTTCAGTGGGTTTGATTACGATCGGTCGGCGAGTCCAGCGGCGGGAACAACACCGGAACTTGTCATCGCATGTTTCCGAACGTCTTTCTGATTTGTGACGTAAACGTGAATTAAAGCCAACTGACGAAGGCGACGTTCAGACTGCAGCCTGAAGTGACCCAAATCCGATTTTTTTTCGCCGCTATGCTCCTGTATCTGATCTTTTAATGACACAGATCCGATTTTTTCAGGTCACTTGGATACGTGCTCCTAAAAACCGATACATATCCGATCTTTTGACGTGCGACTTCTGTCTGAACGGTCAGGTCACCTTCACGTCAGGCTCGGAGTCTCGTCAATGGAAGGAAAGCGAGGTTAGAGAGTTTATTAATATTTGGGGAGATCGCGGTATTTAGGTCAAATTGGAGGAGTCTCATTGGAACCGGGCGTTTTTTTTTTTAGTTTTTTTTTATGATTGCCAAAGAAATGTCCGAGCGCGGTTACAGACGGTCCTGACTCCAACGTCAACGAAAAATGAGGATCCTGCGACCCAAATACAAGGAGGATAAAGACTCAAATAAACGAAGAGGCCATGGACTTATAACCCGTCCATTTTACGAAGAACTGGACCGGATTTTGGGAGACAAGCTCAGAGTTTAGGCGACTTCCGTAAACCCTGAGCACGCTCGCTTCGGGACACATTTGGGGCGTTTAAAGTTCACACTGGAGATCATAAACAAGACACATTTAATTGGAAATGCGCACAACTCGCAAAAAAAAAAAAAAAATCTGATTTCCCCCCAAAAAATCCACACTGAGCATTAACTCTTGCAGTCTGAACTTCTTCTAAAAGTTCAAACTAAAACACGTTCCTCACTCATGTTTCGAAATTAGGTCCTGGCCCTTTAAATACTTTAGATTTTTGGATTTGAGTTCAAACGTGTTTTGACTGGTTTGATTTATTCTCCCATTTTTATCATTTTATTTTCCAGAAAAAAAATCCTATCAGGGTAGAAGTTTCACAAAATAAAATGTCTAAAAGAAAAAAAAAAAAAAATCTATGGCTAATACTGCTTGAAAATGAAATGCATTGAAACCAGTCCAAAAAACTGGTAAAAATTACTTAAATAACTGAATTAAACTCGATAATTAACTCCTATAGATACATTTTTTTGCGCTGTACACGTTAAAACAAAAAATACTGGTCTCATAATGCAGCTTAAATCACATATTCCAACAATTCAGCGATGAGAAACGTCAGATTAACTTTGATGGTTGCGTGGGCTTCGAAAACATGGAGGAGCGCTTCTGTTTGCCCACCCGATGACATCACGAGGTGGGCTAAGAGCGAGACGAACCGATCATGACAGATTACAGACACAAAAAACACGATTTAAACAAGACATCAGTTCATTAGTCAGATTTCAAGTGCATCAAGCGTCTTTTCCTACGAAATACATTAAACGCCAAATTATCCGTCGGACAGAATTCACGCGATCGTAGCTGGGATAATATGGACAATAACGTAAACATGTTTGCAGATTTTATGTTTCAAAGTTGAATACAAGCATTTCGATAAGGTTTAAAATGTCCTGTACCAGATTTTCCCCCGTGTATTTAAGCAAAATGTGTCAGATATATCGTAAAAGCAGCTCTCGGGGTCAAAATAAAACCACCGTGTACGTTTTATTGTCCGAGCAAAAAGTTGTGAAAAGCGCTTATGAAGTCATCACAGTGAACACCGTATTTTTCAGACTATAAGTTGCTTTTTTTTCATGATTTGGGCGTTTCCTGCGACTTATACGTTTATAATTTTCACACTGAAGCGGCGAGAGGCTCTAGTCTTGTGTGTCACTTGGCTCTGCTGCGCATGTCTCCTGCAGAAAGAGCCTCTGTCCTGTCTGTATCGTATCAGTCGATCGCACCATCATTTCTGTAACATTGAACAATTTAAACAAACTTATAAAGACGACAGAGAAGACTGAACACAAATGTCCTCAAAAAGAAAGTTATATTTTGCAGATTACAAACTGCAAATAGTGAAATCTTCAGATGAAAACGGTAATCGAGCAGCAGAAAGAAAGTTTGGAGTGACCGAGAAACTTGTGACACTGGGAGGATGCACCATGAAACTTTCCTGGAAGTCACTAGATGTATGGACAAAACCTGGTAAGCGGTTCTTAGAGGGTTTTTCAAACTGCTGCTTCCTCGCAATTCGCACGAAGTTTGTTGCGATCGCGGACGAGAATCCACGACCGGTTCGCCGCAAAAGAAAGTCCGTTTTTGAGGTCGCTGAAAGGAGAAGAGAAGGGGAAAAGGGACAAAGACAAACTGAGGTGATTCTTGGAGATTTCCTTCCAGCGACGGCGCGACTGAAGCAGACGAAGGGTCTAAAAACTTGACGCGTCGGTCGCTAAAATATTTCTAGACAGGTCACTTCAACAGTAATTCTGAAAGCGCACTGGATGTAAACAAACGTGATTTCTAGAATAAAGAGGCAGGAGGAGGTGTTTCTCCTGAGGGAGCTGCGGAGGAGGAAGGTGGTGTCACGCATGCGCAACATTTGCAAAAGGACTGTCGCTGTATTTCACTTCCCTTAAAAAATCCGAAAGACACCGAAACCATCCTGTCGGGATTCAGAAAGGCCGGAATAATTCTAACTGGAACTGATGCTGAAGAGGAAGCGGCGCTCCGTTTACCTCCGGAGGTCAAGGAGTTGCTCAGAAGTGACACCGAGGATGAAGAATTGAATGGATTTAGTGATTTGGAGTGAGATGGAGAGTTTGTTCTGTTGTTTGTTATATTTATCTGAAGAACTGTTCATATGTGACGTTAACAGTCTGTTGTTTTTACTAGAACTTGACTTTTAAGATCAAATGTCGGTTCCTGGTCTCTGATTTTATAACTAAATCTCCCCCCAAAAGTGCGACTTATGTTTTTTTACTTCTTCATTACGCAATTTTTGGGCTGGTGCGACTTATACTCCAAAAAATACGGTAACTATGATGCTCTGAATGCAAAAGATAAACGAGGACTAACTTTGGATCACTGCAAACTGTTTAAAATGGACTGAGTTCTGTTTTTCACATTTTTGAGACTGAAAATCAGGTACAGGGACTTAAACAGCAATTACACACTTTACATTTTGTAGTTTACAAGTTGAACAAAGAAAATAAAACGTCCGAGCTCCACGAGTTGCATGTCCTTTTGTGTTGTGGTACATTTTGGGGACTAACACGGAGCTAGTAGAAGCAGCTCTCTTCTGTGGGACGTGGGTGTAGGACTGGTCTGGACACGTCGGGGTGGTGATGTTGATGGTTTAAACATTGAACTTCATTTGGCCTCTTGTGCTTTTTTGGCGCTTTGTTTCTCTTTTGCCTGCAAGGGGGGAAAAAAAAAAAAAAAAATGTAAGCACGACTTGTCAGAACTATTATTTAACCGGCACATTTCTTCCTAAACATACAAAGAGCATTTTTAAAATTCTGTACAAATCAGAGTAAATGGAGAAGAGGACGAAGCGAGTGTTCAGTTCCAGTCAAATGAAGCTCATCGAGGAGAAAATTTGGAGCCAGGTCCATATTACGAATAGGAATTGATTTGCAGACAAAATAGTGAAATGAAAAACACCAGGATCATATAAAGCGGGTTAATACGAACATTTTAAAGCCAAAATAAAGAGTCTGACAGAAGCAGTTTTAGAGAAGGGAAACATTTTTTTCACTGAATTGGAGCTGGAGTCGACGGAGTTGGAAGTTCTCCGGCGCTCACTTCCTATTTAGACCATTTATACAGCAGAATTATAATAAAATCTGAAGGTGAACCCAAGATGGCGTCGTGTTGTTTTCAGTGGCCTGTGTTCGTTGGCTCATGGGCCCAAAAATAAATTTCCTTTTCCCCATTTGCTTCACCAATCTGGGCGAGCTCCTCCCACCCGAGTAACGTCTGTAATGTGTACGGCGTGGAGCGTTTAGAGTAGACCAATCAGAGCGAGAGATGCTGAAGCAGAGCGAGTGCGAGCTCAGAGCGGGGACAAACTAACTCTTACTTTAGCTTACCAACTAACTTTTAGGCGCTTTGACGATTTAAACTAAGGATGGGCATTCGATGAAATTTTCTTAAATCGATCGTCGAGAGAATTAACGATCGATTATTGATTAATCATTAACGTTTTAATATTAAAATTACCATCATTATTATTACTATCTGCACTAATCTGCATAAATAAATTCAACTTTACAACATATAAATCGTAACGACTCTAGAGCCACATCAGCCCGTTTGACATTATAATGTGTTTAATTCAGATTTGCACAACTCTCACAGAAACAAAACTTAAAACTACATGGCAAATTTGCATAAACTAAGCGAAGATAAAAATACAGCTCTTGTGTCGCTGATGCGGTTCAACTTCTGTTGGATTAAAAGACATGACTCAGGTGAATACAGGTTAGTGTGACCAGATTTGCGTTTGTCAAAACCAGGACAGCGTACGGGGGGAGGGAGGTGGGGACTCGTCATCGACATTGAGCGACTCTCACCTGGTAAAACTTTTTCCCACTGGACACAGAAACATATGTGCTGCTTTATACACTGTGCACATGGACTCACACTTGTCCCGAACGCAACGGAAAGTGTGGAATTTCTTGTACAAATCATCGTTAAATACACATTTGTGCTTCGGTACGTTGCAGACTGACCCACTGTTTGTGTCTCGCTCCTTCTGAGTGAAGAGAGACACATGTATGGGCCTCCGTTTGGTCACACTACTCACAGCAACCTACCAACGTAATCGATTAAATTCTTAATGATCAATTATCGATTAATCGACTAATCATGCCCATCCCTAATTTAAACATTTAAAAAGCTTATGTTGTGAAAATAGAAAAGGATCCCTACAAAATCTGACCGTTGTGAAAGTTGTGGACGCCCTGTCAGCTGAACACGGGCAGTTTGAATTCCCAAAAAGTGCATTGTGCTTCTATGGGAGAATTATTTCTGGGCCCAAACCCCCGGGAGCTGCAGTACCGGGAGTGACCACTAGTCGGCCTGGAGCTGGGACAGAGGGGGAATGACTTATCCAGTTTTTATTATAGCTCAAAGATTTTTACAGTCTATGATAGGAGGAGTATTTTATAGTCACTACAAACCAAGCAAGTGAAAAGGAGACAGTGCCATCTAGTGGACTGTAGCAGTAACAGGGTGTTTTTAAAATGTTTCTACAGTTTGGTTTATTAAAAATGGAACTGCATGTAACCTGCAGCTTCATCGTTTTAAACTAAACCGTACTTAAAAAGTCATGGTATATTTATATATATGAGTATTTAAAGAGGATATAAAAGATGTAGAAATTAATTTAGTTAATTTTTCCTTTTTAAATGTCTTGACAAGATCTTAGAGTGAATCATTATGGTCAGAATAGAAAGAATTTAGAGTTAAAAGTGCTTCAAAGTCTTCTCAAGTCACAGGCCTCAAGTAAAAGTGAAGTCCCAAGTCACTGACCTTCAAGTCCAAGTCGAGTTCCAAGTCTTACTCCATTTTATCAAGTCAAGTCTCAAGTCCTAAAAATAGTGACTCAAGTCCAAGTCACGACTTACAAGTCCCCAACTCTGGAAGTAATTATTGATAAATCGCAATATAGCATCTATTATTTTAGTGTTGGGATGCATCGTGATCTACTGAATTGTATCGTCAGACTCAAGGCAATGCACATCCCAAGCCCTAATCTATACTCATTTATGGTCGATGAACTCCTCGAATCATTCCCCCAACTTAATGAACGCTCGATATTCTAACTTTTTATATCCTCCAAGCGACAGTTTCAGTGGGATTTTGTCGACTAATGAACCCCCTGGTGTTTATCCTTCGCCCATTACGGCGTTTGGGTTTTATTTGTCTTGCACAGAAACACGCGTCGTACCTTCTCTACCAACGGCATGAGCTGCTGGTACTCTGCCAACGTCTTCAACAGCTCCATGATGAACGGAAGGTAGTTGTGTTTCCGTCGGATGTTTTCAATCTGAGTAAAAAAATAAATAAAAAAGAGCACATCACGTTAGGACTTCAAAATATAGACACATTAAAAAAATAATAATAATCACAAACAGACCTGGAGTTGTGTTTTGTTTCATTCACACATGTTAAACTTTTATTTCTCTCCAAGTGAAAATACTGTTCCACCTTGTGATGTCATGTGGTAATACAGGAAGAGCTCCACTGTGTTTTTAAACTGCACACACCTTCACTAGAATCATTTGGATCATTTCAGCTCTGGAATTGCCGATCTCTACTGAACTAAAAGGTAAAATGTAGATGTAAACTTGAAAATGACAGCTTCATGACATCACAAGGTGGAACAGAACATTTGAGTTTGAGTTGAAAATGACCCCCAAGAGAGCCTGAAATCTGCTGAAATCCCTTAAAAAAAAAAAAAAAAAAAGATGGCCCAAACTTGAAAACCTTCTTGAAGATGTGGACACCTGCGGCTTATAGACATGCCCCTATATATGTACAATTTTTCTTTTTCTTTTAATATTTCGTTGATGCAGCTTTTATTCAGGTGCCCGAAATAGTCCAGAAATTACGGTAACATAAATAAAAAATGAGAATTAACCCTGCAGTGTTTATTTTTTTCCTACAACTACACATTTTATTGTAGAACCTTTTGATAAAATGATAAAAACTTTGAATACAATTTTTTTTTTTTTTATGTTTAATGACCCTCTTTGCGTAACACTGGTCAGTACAGCTCCGAGTCCGTACCTTATATCTCTGTAGTTTCTGGTTCTCGGCCTCGATGAGAAGTTGGTATTTGGCGATTTCTGAGCTGACGAACGAGCTGCTCTGGTCTGTGTCCATGGGCTCGTCCTGACAGAGGAGAAAAACTCAAAAAACTCAATATTTACACATTACCAGAGGAAACTCCTTTTTTTTTTTTACAACAAAGTCTAAAGTTCACTGCAAAGAAGCTTAAGATATAAACACTTCAATCTATCAGAAAATGACTTAAAAATAGTGAAATTATCTTGCTCCACGGACAGATAATTTGACTTAAAATGAACTTGATACTAGAATACAGCAGTCTCAGAACTAGTAAGAACAGAATAGAATATCTTCATTGTCATTATACAGTATAATGAAATATAAATCTGAAAACAAGATGAACTAGAAAAGCACTCAGAGAGCGCAGACCTCCGCCAAGGACTACCCCCATTTTTTATATAAATTGCGATAAAATCAGTCTTCTGGATCAGATCCGGATCAGCCTTTGGAATATGAAAGAGGATCCCATTGTCCATCCCTGAGTCAAATTTCATGGGGTTTGGTCAATAATTAACCGAGATACTGAGAAACAAATTTTTTGGCCCCATTTACCACAATGTTAACTAAAATTTCAAAGTGATCCAGAATCCAGGATTTCTTCCGGATCACCCCCAAAATGAAATCAGTTCTTCCTTTTCACATTTCCAACAAATCCTGAAAATTTCATCAAAATCTGTCCATAACTTTTTGAGTTATGTTGCTAACAGACAAACAAACAAACAAACAAACAAACAAGACAAAACGCCGGCAAAAACATAACCTCCTTGGCGAAGGTAATAACCTGATAGAAGTTTTGAAATCTTGCCCAGATCTGAGAAATTTGCAGTGTTCAAAGTGTGAATCTTGACACTGAACACCAGTTATCAGCCACAGTCCATCAATTTTGTTGGCGCTTTACTGAATGAATATTAGCTGTATTTTTATCAGAATGTGAGACTACAGCGCCACCAAGTGCTCATTTGACTCATTCACGTCATTGGAGTGATATGTCTGTTCCATCCTTGTGCATTTCTAAACAATTGTATGTGTTTTTCTCATTAAATTTGTTGTTTTCTCTGCGTGTACCTCTGTGAGTTGTGTCTGCAGCTCTGTGATTTTGCGTTCGTAGATCATTTTTCTGTCCGACACGATGGCCATGAGGTTAAAGCGGATCTCTCCTTCGCTGTACCTGCAGAAAGCGTGACAAACGATTCAGTTTAGAAGCACGCGCGTTTCAGTCCAAACAGAGTGACAGAGAGTGTATGTGTGTACTTCTGTATCCTCTTCTCGATGACCGGGTGCACGGCGCTGATCCAGTTGTCCTGATTACAAACACCTGGAAAAAAAAACAACAGTTCACAGTTAATATTCTTGTCTTTTAGGTTCTTTTGTTCTGCATTTGATATAATGTTGTGCTATTTTTAACTGTTAGACAAGAGTTTATTAAGCCATTGTTTCTTATTATTGTTATTAAAGGTTGTATGGAGGATTTTTGTTTTGTTTCAAACTGTCGGTCAAAGATTAAAATACCATTACAGAGACGCAGCAGCTTTGTAATTATGATGACCAAAAAAAAAAAAGAACGAAAATCTATCAACTGTGGACGTGTTGAGGCCAGATAAACATCAGCCAATAGAAAACGAGGCTCCCTCATTTTCTATTGGCTGTTAGGTTGTCAATCAAACTCCCTAGTATAACTGATTCGTCGGAGCGCGGGGATTACGTGGTTTATGCAGAGGTTCTTAGAGGCTTTTTCGAACTGTCGCTTCCTCGCATTTTACACAAAGTTTGTCGCGACGGCGGACGAGAATCCACGATCGGTTCGCCGCAAAAGAAAGTCCGTTTTTGAGGTCGCTGAAAGAAGAAGAGAAGTGGAAAAGGAGCAAAGCCAAACTGAGGTGATTCTTGGAGATCTCGTCCAGCGATGGCGCGACCGAAGCAGGCGAAGGGTGTAAAAACTGACGCGTCGGTCGCTGAATTACTTCTAGACAGGAAACTTCAACACTAATTCTAAATGCGCACAAAGACTGTCACTGTATTTCTCTTCCCTTAAAAAAATCCTCTATACAACCTTTAGGCAGGGATGGGAGTATTGGTATCAAAATATCAATATATTAATAGTGACTCAATTACAGTTACACTACCATTCAAAAGTTTGGGGTCACTTAGAAATGTCCTTATTTTTGAAAGAAAAGCACTGTTTTTTTCAATGAAGATAACTTTAAACTAATCAGAAACACACTCTATACATTGTTACTGTGGTAAATGATTATTCAAGATGCAAATGTCTGGTTTTTGACGCAATATCTGCACAGGTGTACAGAGGCCCATTTCCAGCAACTGTCACTCCAGTGTTTTAACGGTACAATGTGTTTGTTTACTGCGTCAGAAGACTAAAGGATGATAAAAAAACCCTTGTGCATCATGTTAGAACAGATGAAAACAGTTTAGTTTTGGTTAGAGAAGCTATAAAACTGACCTTTCTTTGAGCAGGTTGAGTATCTGGAGCGTCACATTTTGGGTCAATTAAAAGCTCAAAATGGCCAGAAAGAGAGAAATTTCATGTGAAACTCCAGACTCTGTTCTTGTTCTTAGAAATGAAGGCTGTTCCATGTGAGAAATTGTCAAGAAACTGAAGATTTCCTACAACGGTGTGTTCTACTCCCTTCAGAGAACAGCACAAAAAGGCTCTAACCAGAGTAGAAAGAGAAGTGCCCATCCAGCCAATCTGATTTGTGGGAGGGGATTCTTGAAGCGTGGGGTGAAATATCTCCAGATTATCTCAACAAATTAACAGCTAGAATGCTAAAGGTCTGCTATGCTTTAATTGCTGCAAATGGAGGATTCTTTGACGAAAGCTTTGAAGGAAAAAAATTATTTCAAATACAAATTGTCAATGTCTTGATTATATTTTCTATTCATTTTACAACTCATGGTGGTAACTAAAAGTGTGACTTTTCATGGAAAACACTAAATTGTCTGGGTGACCCTAAACTTTTGAACGGTAGTGTACATTAGTGGGTAAGGACACAGCTATGCAAACATTAATACTACTGTATTTTTTGGACTATAAGTGGCACTTTTTTCATGGTTTGGGTGCTGCTGCAACTTATACTCCAGTGCAACATATTAAAATATATAATTTCAATGTTTATTATTTTCACACTGACAGCCATGAGAGGGCGCTCTAGTCTTGTTTGTCAGTATCTGCTGCTCCTGTTCCTCCTGTACCACTGTGACTTCACTCTACTCATCACTTCATCACTTCATGTCTCCTGCAGAAAGAGCCTCTGAGTGAGTGGATGTCCGGCGACTGAAGTCTGAGACATTTCTTCTTGTCATTTACGCACTCGCCTGCATTTAACGCACACATTTAGCTGTAGTTATTAAGATGTATCCCACTCACTAATGTTAATTTAGCATCATAACTTATTTTATCACACGGCGATAAACTGTTAATCATATTCTGCAAGCTGCAAGTCGTAAAATATGCAGCTGAAAACGGTAATCAAGCAGCAAAAAGAAAGAAAGTCTGGAGTGAGTGAGAAACTTGTGAGTGACTGAAGAAAAGCGAAGGACTCTCTAACTGCAATGAAGAAAAGGAAAAAGCTCACTGGGGATGAAGAATTGAATGGATTCAGTGATTTGGAGTGAGATGGAGCGTTTGTTAAGCTTATTCTGTTCTGTTCTTTATGTTACATTTATCTGAAGAACTGTTCATAATGTGACGAAAAATGCGACTTATGTCAATTACCATATTTTCCAGCCAAAAAAAATGCAAACAAGTTTCAAATAAGTTCTACTGAAATGTCTTCGTAACGTTAGTCCAGTATCCGTATCGAAATATTTTCTCTTAAATGTACATTGGGGTATCTCCCGTCTCTATTTATTAACATTGAATTTAACTTCATTTTTATGGTTTAATCTGCAAATGTCTGAAAAAAATCTACAAGGGGTTTTGTTTTTGTCAGTAAACTGTAACACTTTATAATAACTACACCTTACTTAGCCTTAATAAAGCATGAACAAAGACTTAATTAATAATGAACAAAGATTTAATTAATAATGATTCATGCTTAGTAAATGCTTAATAAAGGATAATTTGTCTTCACTTTAGAAAAGCTCTCAAAAAGACTTAACAGATAACAGCTGCCTGAATTATCATTGCATTATTAGTAAATCATTCTCTCATAGCTAACTAATGATTAATAAATGCTCAAATGGTTAGTTCATGAGTAATTAAGTATGAAATAATTATGAGTAAATATTTACAGCACAGGCAAATTAAGTGCAAGTACTAAATAAGGTAGTAATTAAGTAGTTACTAAGCGTGAATCATTATTAATTAAGTCTTTGTTCATCCTTTATTAAGGCTAAATAAGGTGTAGTTATTATAAAGTGTTACCCAGTAAACTTGTTAAACATGTCAAAACTGTCTCTCACCCAGGTCTATGGGCCCCTCCCGGAGCCCGTCCAGCTCGTACAGGCGCCCGTTCACAGGGACGTAACTCACAAAGTGGAACGCATCTTCATCTTTAGACGTAGACTTGGCATCAAACTCGAACATCTGCTGCCTGTGAACGAGACGAACGACGAATACTGTGGTTTTAATTTACACATTTCATTTAAGAATCATCCAATAAAACTAAAAAAAAAACAAGACTCAGAGGCATTTTGAGGAACATCAATAGCATCATGTCCAGTGTTTTTGTAACTAGGAATAAATCAGCATTAAAACTGTTCTTCGTAAACGCTCTATTTGATTTAAACATGTTCTTCTTGAACTTGTATCTGGGGTTTCTTACATTCAGTTCTTTTAAAAACAAAATGGTGACAAGTTGATATGAAATAAGTTATTTGATAAATTACTCAGCAAAAACGAGCATCTAGTTTTATTTTTTTCAGTAATCAACGATCGTGTGTCTCATCTCAAAGGGGATAATCCAGTTCGCTTTATTTCTACAGCACATTTCATAAACAAAACCGTTTCCAAAGTGCTGCACAAATAAAAAACATCCAATAGGAAAACAAAATAAAGCTCAACTTAACTCCTCTAAATCTCACTAAGACAATAAAACTGGTAAAATCAAATAAGAGCAAGAATACCGATAAGTAATAAAAAGGGTTAAAAACAAACAAACAAACAAAAAAAGAATAAAAGTGGGTCTTAAGATGAGACTTAAAACACCAAGACGCCACCAGGAGAGAGAAAAGAGAATTACAAAGCGGGAGGGAAAGACTGGAAGCTGAAAGTGATAAAAGGGAGAAGAGGGAGAGGAGATAGGGGATGAAGAGAAGAAAGAGGAGGAAAAGGAGAAGAGGGGGAGAGAAGGAGAAGAGGGGGGAAAGCAGATAGGTGGTGAAGGGGGAAAAAATGAGGAAGAGAAGGAGGAGTAGAGAGGGAGAGGGGGGAGAGAAGAGAAGAGGGGGAGAGAAGGAGGAAAAGAGGGAGAGAAAGAGGAAAAGAGGGAGAGAAAGAGGAAAAGAGGGAGAGAAAGAGGAAAAGAGGGAGAGAAGGAGAAGAGGGGGAGGGAAGGAGAAGAGGGGGAGAGAAGGAGAAGAGGGGGAGAGAAGAAGGAGAGGGAGAGAGAAGAAGGAGAGGGAGAGAGAAGGAAGAGGGAGAGAAAGAGGAAAAGAGGGAGAGAAGGAGAAGAGGGAGAGAAGGTTAAAAGGGGGAGAGACATGGGGGAGAGAAGAGAGAGGAGGAAGAGAAGGAGAAGAGGGGGAGAGGAGGAAGAGAAGGAGAAGAGGGGGAGAGGAGGAAGAGAAGGAGAAGAGGGGGAGAAGAGGAAGAGAAAGAGAAGAGGGGGAGAGAACAAGGTGGGTGAAGAGAAGAAAGGACAAAGAGAAGGAGAAGAGGGGGAGCAGAAATAAGGGGTGAAGAGAAGAAAGAAGGAGAAGAGGGAGAGTAAGAGGAAAAGAGGGAGAGAAAGAGGAAAAGAGGGAGAGAAAGAGGAAAAGAGGGAGAGAAAGAGGAAAAGAGGAGAGAAGAGGAGGAAGAGGAGAGAAGGAGAAGAGGGAGAAGGGACAGGGGTGAAGACAAGAAAGAATAGGAAGAGAAAGGAAAGAGGGAGTAAGCAGATAGGTGGTGAAGAGAAAAAAGGAGGAAGAGAAGGAGAAGAGGGAGAGAAGGTTAAAAGGGGGAGAGGACATGGGGTGAAGAGAAGAAAGAGGAGGAAGAGAAGGAGAAGAGGGGGAGAGGAGGAAGACAAAGAAGAGGGGGAGAGAACAAGGTGGGTGAAGAGAAGAAAGGACGAAGAGAAGGAGAAGAGGGGGAGCAGAAATATGGGGTGAAGAGAAGAAAGAAGGAGAAGAGGGAAAGAATGAGAAGAGGAGGAGCAGAGATGGGGTTAAAGAGAAGAAAAAGGAGGATGAAGAGTAGGAAAAGAGGGAGAGAAGGAGTAGAGGAAGAGAAGGAGAAGAGGAGAGAAGGAGCTAGGTGGTGAAGAGAAGGAAGAGAGGAGGATGAGAAGGAGAAGCAGAGAAGAGGTGGTGGGGTGAAGAGAAAAAAGAAGGAGGAGGAGAAGAGAAGGAAGAGAAGGAGAAGAGGAGGAGAGAAGACGGGGTGAAGAGACGAAAGAAAGCAGCAAGAGAAGGAGAAGGGGAGGGCAGGGATGAAGAGAAGAAAGAGGAAAAGAAAGAAGGGGGGGAGGGAAGATAGGGAGTGAAGAAGAAGGAGAAGAGGGAGAAAAGGAGTAAAGGAAGAGAAGGAGAAGAGGAAGTGGAGAGACTAAGGGAGACTGTTGGGAGAGGAGAAAGAAGAGAGATCGGGAAAGAGGTGGAAAGGAGGAAAGGAGAGGGAGAGGAAGAGAGAGAAACAGAAGGGAGAGCGTTTCACCTGGCAAAGCCGTTGTGCACCTGCCGGATGACTTCAGAGTTGCTCAGAGCCAAACCTTTCATCTGTGGAGAGACGAGAGACGAGACGAGACGGTTTAAAAATACACCAACCCACCACCGAATCCTCCGAGCTTCAGACGAGCAGAGAAACGAAGCTTAAAAACAACCTCAAAAATATGACAGAAAAACTTACAACCTACGACTTTCAACTCTCAATGTTTACGCGATAATGTTTCCTTCATCACAAACAGACCTGGAGTTGTGTTTCGATTCATTTACACGAGTTTAAATCAAAAATCCTGCAGTTCTTGTCACAAACTGAAAACACTGTTCCACCTTGTGATGTCATGCGGTGATAAAGGAAATTCTCCACTATTTTTTTAAACACGACACAACTTCACAGTGCACTTTCCATTCAATACGATTCGATAAAGTAAAAAACAAAGGCTAAATCATCGCTCTGATACTTAAAGGTTGTATGGAGGATTTTTTTTTTGTTTCAAATTGTCAATGAAAGTTTAAAATACCATTACAGAGACGCAGCAGCCTTGTAATTACGATGACCAAAAAAAAAAGAATGAAAATTTATCAACTGTGGACGTGTTTAGGCCAGATAAACATCAGCCAATAGAAAACGAGGCTGCCTCTTTACCTATTGGCTGTCAGGTCATCAATCAAACTCCCTACGTTTCTAGTGTAATTGACTCGTCGGGATGCAGGGATCACGTGGTTTATGCAGCGGTTCTTAGAGGCTTTTTCAAACTGTCACTTCCTCACAAAGTTTGTTGCGATGGCGGACGAGAATCCACGACCAGTTCGCCGCAAAAGAAAGTCGGTTCTTGAGGTCGCTGAAAGAAGAAGAGAAGGGGAAAAGGAGCGAAGACAAACTGAGGTGATTCTTGGAGATTCCTTCCAGCGATTGCGCGAGTGAAGCGGACGAAGGGTCTAAAAACTCGCATGCACAACATTTGTAAAAGAACTGTCGCTGTATTTCTCTTCCCTTAAAAAAATCCTCTATACAACCTTTAAAGTCTGGTAACACTTTAGTTTAGGGAGCACATATTAATAGCCGACGAAGTGGTAATTGGTTTATTAATTAGCTGTTACTTCGATATTAGTTGGTATTAATCAAACACTTAGTCATGCTTATTGAGGTTTCAGTCTATGCACAAAAATATCTATTGTAATCTCCACTACTTTAATGGGAAGAAAAGAGTTCATGGGTTAGTCCTCGCAAAATACGGCCTTAGACAAAAATGCATTGAAAGTACTTTATAAATATTAACAAAGACGTATATAAGTACTTATTATGCATTTTACTATTAACTAACTATTAATTTGTGGTCCTTAGCCTGAAGTGTTACCAAAAGTCTTTATTATGTGGTGTCAACACAACAAAGTTTTTTGGTCAAAACCGTGAAGTTTTTACTCGTTTTGGCCTTTCGTCCACACAGACGACGGCGTTTCGAGTGGGCGAAACCTCGGTTTTGCGTTGCGTCGTCGTGTGGACAATCAAACCGCAGCTTTTGGAAAACGATGATGTCACAACCATGTCATCGTCACGTGACCAGGAGAAAAAAAAACCCGCGCAACAATCAGACAATGGAGTTGAGTTTGTGCTGCGGATGAATCCATGTATCATTTGTTCATTCGTTTTTCAATATAAAACCATAAATAAAAAAAAAACGAAAAACTGTTTTCTTTGTTATTTGTCTCCAAAACCAAAATGAAAAAACGGATAATGATTTGTTTTTTCAGTTTTCGATTTTGTGTTTAAATGAAGAATGGAAAAAAAACGGATAACGGCCGTGTTCCGTTTACGTGACTTCTGTGACTGCGATGCCGGACTTTTACACTGCATACGGACTGAACCAGGACTGATCGTTTTCCATTTTTTCATTTTGGTTTTGGAGACAAATAATGAAGAAAACTGTTGTTTTTTTCGTTTTCTTATTTTTGGTTTTATATTGAAAAACGAATGAACGAATGATACACGGATTCGGATGCTTCCAAGTTTATTCGCACTGTTGCATCAAAACCTCTTGGTCTTGTGTTTGTTTGTTGCGGAAGAGGAAGGACTTTATGCGCATGAGCTCTTTCTAGTTCTTATGTGTCCCTTGGCTCTGGCTGTATTCTGTTTACAGCACCACATACAGGTGTGGCGTATATAATACATCATTTTCACTCAGTGCTCCTGTTGCTGGCTGGACGTGGATAATTTTTTTCAACCTACAAAAAAAAAATATCCAGGACCATTGTCGTATGGACGTAGCCTTAAAGGTTGTATGGAGGATTTTTTTTTTTGTTTAAAATTGTCATTGAAAGTTTAAAATACCATTACAGAGATGCAGCAGCTTTTAATTATGATGACCGGAAAAAAAAAAAGAAAGAATGAAAATCTATCAGTTGTGGACGTAGTGAGGCCAGATAAACATCAGCCAACAGAAAACGAGGCTCCCTCTTTTTCTATTGGCTGTTAGGTTGTCAATCAAACTCCCTACGTTTTTAGTGTAACTGAGTCGTCGGCGCTCGGGGATTACGTGGTTTATGCAGCGGTTCTTAGAGGCTTTTTCAAACTGTAGCTCCCTTGCAATTCGCACAAAGTTTGTTGCGATGGCGGACGAGAATCCACGACCAGTTCGCCGCAAAAGAAAGTCCGAAGGGTCTAAAAACTGACGCGTCGGTCGCTAAAATATTTCTAGGCAGGTCACTTCAACAGTAATTCTGAACATGCACTGGATGTAAACAAATGTGATTTCTAGAGTAAAGAGGCGGGAGGAGGAGATGTTTCTACTGAGGAAGGTGGAGTCACACATGCACAACATTTGAAAAAGGATGGTCGCTGTATTTCACCTCCCTTAAAAAATCCTCTATACAACCTTTAAACCACCAATGTGTGTTTTTCAGTGAAAATGAAAAACACACATTTTACATTTTAACAGTGAAAATGCCAAATGTATTGCATAAACAGGTGAACTTTCTCCAAACAAGCAACATAATTACACTTCTTTCACAAAATAATTTAGTAACTTAAACCCAAAAAATTACTCTTTGCGATATATCGATACAGCAGCCCATGCCATTTATCTCTACTAAAGGAACAATTACCCTGGAAAATAGCACTTCATGACATCACAAGGTGGAACAGAGCATTCTGAGCTTCAGATGTGGACAAACGTGTGAATGAAACCAAACAAACCTCCAGATATTTTTGAGGAGAAAACATTGTAACATGGCTTAAAGCTCGGAAGAGTCAGTTTAGTGTAATATAGAACCTTTAATTGCAGTAAAGTGTCCGTTTATCGGGATCCTGAGTGAAAATACGATGCTGCTGTTACATCACATCTGGAAGGCTGTCAGCTAGACTCTAAAACTTCAGAAAAGTGTCTCTTCAAAGTCTGAGGTTTGAGAGAGATTACACAACCGAGAATTAAGGATGAAAAGGACAGCTCTTAGCGACAAACAGCTCTGTCATCATCGCTGAGAGGATCAAGACGAGAGCTCCAGCTTAAAAGAACCGGAATGGATGGAGTGAGGAGGGCTCCGAAAATACTGAATCGTTTTACTTTCATTAGAGCCCAGAGTATTGATAGAGATATTAGAATGTCCTCTTCAAATAACAAAATATCAGAGCTTTTCTAAACATGTTCTTCCCTCATGTTGCAATGGCTTGTGTTTAAAATGTGCACTGTGATCTACTGGACTGAACAGACTTATTTCCCTGCAAAATGGTGTAAACAAAGGATGCGTACAGCGGCGTCGAAGCTCTGAGAGAACTCCCTGAACTCGGACAGCGTGTCTCCGAGCTCGATGTCGGGGTGGGTGCAGTTGAGCAGCACACTGACGATGGCCTGGGTCGCACACGCGTTGTTTATCACCTGCAACACACACAAAGAGACACGGGTCATTCAGTGGAACTTTTACACGTAGATTTCTACAGCTGGGAGGGAACGGGCTCTTTCACGTTTACGTCACAAACCAGGAAGACGTTTGGAAACATGCGTTGACGACTTCCGGTGTAGTTCCCGACACTGGGCTCGCCGACAGACTGTGATCAAACCAGCGGTAAGATGAAGACTGCATACGTATGTGCTGTTTGGAATCATTTTTATTAATCATCATATAATTTTTCCACTGTCTTCCTATGACCTCTTGTATATAGCTGAGATTTTTTATATTTTATTACTTATTTTTCCAATTTATTTTGACTTGTACATTTACATTTATATAATTGTCTTATTTGAGACCTGTCTCTTGCTCTTTTTAGCTACTAGAATGTATTATTACCATTTAGATTTTTAACTCTTTATTATTATATTATAATGCATCATTTTTATATAGCGCTTTTCTGGACACTCAAAGACACTTTACAGTTCATTATTCATTCACCTGGTGACCTGGTGATGGTAAGCTGCTACTGTAGCCACAGCTGCCCTGGGGCAGACTGACGGAAGTGAGGCTGCCAATCTGCGCCATCGGCCCCTCCGACCACCACCACCACTCACACACACACCACTTTCATACTTTCATACTAGGCAATGAGGGTGAAGTGCCTTGCCTAAGGACTAGGGCTGGGTATCATTAAGAAGTTGCCGATACGATACATACCTCGATACACAGGCCACGATACGATACATATCTCGATACAGTGCACTTTCGATTCAATATGATGCATTTCAAATCGATTCGATACAGTTCAATACAAAATAAAGGCTAAATCGTGGCTGTGATACTAAAAGTCTTTGTTAAATCACTTCTTGTGCAAAGTTCATATGAAACACAAACATTTTAATCCTCAAAACAGTAAAAATGTCAAATGTGTCGAATAAATGAGTTTCCTTTCACTCCACAAGCAACAAAACTGTAGCTGTAACAAAATAATTTAGTAAAACACACGTACAAATACTCTATATCGATACAGTAGCCCACCATATCGATACTGTATCATCACATTACAATAATAATGACCATATTACATTGTGATGTGTGAGCTACTGTGACCAAATAATTTCCCTTGTGGATCAAAAGTTTAAGTTTTTTGTGCATTAAAATCACCTGAATAAATGCATTTGACCAGACTGTGGAACATTTCAAGCGAGGCAATAAGCTCTCCATAGTGGCGCCTCCCCCAAAGAAAGATTCCATAGTGTACCTTTACCACACAGGACATTGTAAACAGCGAATAGAGTCTCACTTGTTTTGCGAAGAAGATGCTGTCAAGTCGTGAGTCCTGGACGATGGATCCGGCGGGCTCCTCTCCGGCCTGCCACTTAAACAGGAAGATGAGTCCGTGCACGGGTCTGAGGACGACAAATGTGCCATTAATACAACAAAACATATACAAAATCAAGTAATCCAAGAACATGTACTGATACCTACTTTAGATTCTCAAAGTTCTCCGGCTCCATGCTCCAGATCTCCTCCACCTGTGCCCCTTTGCAGCCTGAGGACACAAAAATGCACAAATCAGCTGCAAAGTTTCCCAGAATGGAAGCAGATACAGGCACATTTATAGTGGCACAGGATTATTAACCAAGAGATTCAAGCTTTACAAGTTTAAGACCTTCCTAAAAGTGATTCAGAATGATTTTTGAACAAATTCTTTCTAAGTTTCATGGCAAGTAGGCAAGGAAATAACAAACATTTCCTCCCAAATTAGCAGTTACAGATGCTACAGGACATGGGGAACAAGAAAAACATTTATATGATTTAGTAAACATCTGCGAGCAAATGAGGATTATATTGATATTACAGACTGGAAAATATGTGCCGCTGCGGGAAGATCGGTAAAATGACATAAACGAGGCCCGACATTTGGTCTCGCTACATTCACATTTCATTTTTATTATGATATAGACGCTGATTTTCTAACTCAATACATTACAGTGCGTGATGCGGCCGAGTTAAGGCCGGCGAGAATGTCCCCCCTCTCCTGGGCACAGCAGTTACCGTGTGCCGCCCAAGAGAAGGGGACGCTCGAGCTGGTATCTCAAGAATACGCTGTAAAACGCTGGGCCAAAATTGAAGATATAAACACTTAAATCTATCAGAAAATGACTTAAAAGTAGTGAAATTATCCGTCCATGCAGCAAGATTATTTTAAGATAACTTGTCAAGTAAAATAAACGGCCTCTAGACTAGAATTAAGACGTCTCAGAGCTATTAAGTAGATAATAAACCTGAAAAAGATGAAAAACCTGATATAAGTTTTAAAATCTTGTCCAGATCAGAGAAACTGCAGTGTAGTTCCTTTGCTCTTATGTCAGTTTTACACACATCACTGTCATGTCTGACAAATTCCCAAATCCCTGGAGGAAATCGGTGCTTTTAATGTGTACAACATGTTTAAGTCAATGTAAAGAGTAGATCTTATCTTTACTGGTGATAGAAGTCAGGTCCATCAATCAAAATCACAGGCACATTCAAGAGAAAAAAAAAAAGTTTCAGTACAAAAAACATAACCTGACTTGTACTAAATTTGACATGAATGTTGTAACGTTTGGAACATTGATGGTGTAATGCTGTTGTGATGGATAATATCAGTGCCCCAATCTCTACATGTCCGTCTTTTTAAACAGAGTAGCAAGTTACAATGTCAACAGCAGAGATGAAGCTAAAGCGATGGCTGTTTACTTCTATCTAACCATGATCTCAGTCTCAAAACAACAACATTAGACTTTGTTGCTCATTGTATTATCATTGCCTTATAAAAAGAGACTACACTAGTCAAAATTACCTTAAAGCTTAAGATAGGCAGAAAGTGACAATGTATGTAAGGGAAAACCCTATGTCCTGTCAATCATCTTATCATTGACCTCTTGTATATAACAGATTTTATTATTTTATTACTTATTTTTCTATTTTATTTTGATTTGTATGTATACATTTACATAATTACGCCTTATTTGACACCTGTCTCTTCCTCTCTTTTTTGTTACTTACTCAGAATTTATTATTACCAAGTTGTTGTTGGGTTGCTGTTTTGTTGTTGGTTGTTGTATTGTGATAATAATTTCCCTTGTGGATCAATAACGTTTGTCTAAGTCTAAGTGTATACAACACAATTTAAATTAGATTATATTATTCAAATGAAGATCATTTGTGCCACTGTAATCTTGTAAAAACTATATTTATCTGAGGAATCACTCTGATAACCTAAAAAAAAAAAAAAAAAAAAAAAAGAGTAGTCTATTGTTTAAAATTTCAAAAGCAAAACAGCAAGACTAGGGTGACCAGATTTTCAAAATAAAAAACTGGGACAGTCCTGGAGTGGTTGGTAATAATAAAATTGTGAAACGACTACGTAATTAAGAAGAACTGTTCTGCACTCGGCCCATTTCTGACTAATATGTGAACCAGTATATTCACATTTTCTTTGTGTTTTGGTCATTTTTAAGCAGCTTTCCTGGATTTTATTTAAACAAATGACAAGGTATGCCTCTCTTTAACTGTTGGCAGGGATCAAATTGGTCAAAAATAGCAACATTTCTTATAAAAATTATGACAAATCACTGGTTTTGGATAAATCAGCTGGGACCAGGGGAGACAGGGCTCAAAACTGGGACTGTCCCGAGTAAATAGAGACGTCTGGTCACCCTATGCAAGACAAATGGTGGATGTTGGAATCGGTTGTACCATGAACCATGAACCATTTTCATTGCAGTCTAATGCCCATGTTTTTGTTGATACTTTTTAGATGAAGTCATGACAGCAGAGTCCAACACAACTGCCATTTTTGTTCCATGTTTTAGTTCTGAGGATTTTTGTCTAGCTTTGACAACTAAATTAGGGTGACCAGACTTTCTAAATCAAAAACTGGGATTCCCTTGGTTTGTTGTGGTTGGTAATAATAAAATTGTGAAACAAGTGCACAATTAAGGAAAATTGTTAAGCATTCAACTAACATATGAGCCACTTTAGCCACATTTTCTTTGTGTTTTGATCATTTTTAAGTAGATTTTCTGCATTTTACTTAAAGAAATGACAATGTATGCCTTGCTTTAGCTTTGACAACTAAATTAGGGTGACCAGACTTTCTAAATCAAAAACTGGGACTCCCACAATATTGTGAAACAAGTGTGCAATTTAAGCATTCACCTAATATGTGCCCCAATATAGCCACATTTTCTTTGTGTTTTGGTAATTTATAAGCAGCTTTTCTGTATTTTACTTAAAGAAATAATAATGTATGCCTCGCTTTAGCTTTGACAACTAAATTGGGGTGACCAGATTATCTCAATCAACTCCCTCAGTTTGTTGTGGTTGATAATAATAAAATTGTGATAAAGTGCGTAATTTTTAAGCACTCAACTAACATGTGAGCCATTTTAACCACATTTTCTTTGTGTTTTGGTTATTTTTAAGCAGCTTTTCTGTATTTTACTTAAACAAATGACAATTTATGCTTCTCTTTACTGCTGACAGGGATCAAATTGGTCAAAAATAGCAATATTTCTTGTATAAAACTGGGTCAGATCACTGGTTTTGGATAAACCTGCTGGGACAGGGGACACAGGGCTCAAAAGTGGGACTGTCCCGGGTAAACAGGGACGTCTGGTCACCCTAATCTAAATGTAGATCTTAAAAAATGAGCAAAAATGTGGATGTCTTGGGTTAGAAAAGGAAAAAAAGCACATTATAGACAGAATGCGCATAATGTAAATCCAAACGGGTGACAGGTATAAGTATAAATCTTCAGAATACGGGTTTTTTAGTCAGATCTCACGGTAAACAAGTCAAACGTGAACCAAAACAAACACATGTTTCACGCGCCGCAGTTTGAACGCTGACTAATGCTAAGGCTAGCGGGTTAATTCATTCAGCTAAACTCCCCCAAAACATGCACTTTATTCACATTTAGGATTTATTGATGAGCTAGATCTATCGCTGCAATGTAAACACCACTTCTCTGGAACAAACTGGGCATTTTCACAGCTCATCCAAGCTCCCAGGTGAATTAATACAACACATATTAGCATTTAGCAGCTCCCCCATTCACTTCAATGGGGAGAATTTAGCATTAGCATTTAGCATCTTAGCATTCTTGGGACTTACCGAAACCTTTTATGAGCTCCGTGAAGACGCCGGGGTCGCTCTCCATCAGGCACCATTCTCCCGCACTTCCAGACATTTTGGCGACACTGCAGATCACCTCGTCCCTGATTTCATGAACTTAGAAGCGGGTGGGTTTGAGCGAAGTGACACAGCGGCGGATTTCACTGCAACGTGAGGAAGGGTGCGTTTGATTTGTGACCCATCGCGCACGGAGTTAAACTAAACAGTAAATAAAATACATATAATTTAAAAGTGAATCCATTTTATTTACCTAAACTAAACTTAAACACAGTTTTTGAATTTCACTACAATTTCATAAAATATTTTGACGATAGAAAAACACTGAAAACAGAAATGGTTTACAGGGTGCGCAAATCAAACGCCACGTTCCACAGCTGCAGCCCGGACCGACTTTTTTTTTTTTTTTTTTTTTTTAACTCATTGAATTTGAATTTTATAATAAGAAATCAAACAACTTATATAACTAATATTACAAGTTTTATTTATTTATTAAATTATTATTTTTAACTCATTTAATTTTACTTTAATAATAATTTTAAATGTCATAATAAGAAATCAAACAACATATATAACTAATATTACAAGTTTTATTTTTTTTATTTAATTTTTTTTTTTTTAACTCATTGAATTTTACTTTAATAATAATTTTAAATGTCATAATAAGAAATCAAACAACTTATATAACTAATATTACAAGTTTTCTTTCTTTCTTTCTTTATTATCATTTATTATTATTATTGTTATTATTTTATCTTGTTGATCCGAGCACAGCCGTAGTGATGTACAAGGCCTATAATCATATGCTCCCTCCTTGTTTACATGAGTTATTCGAGCAGAGAGAGTCAGTATAACCTTAGAAGAACAGGCATCTTTAAAATAAATAAATAAGATAAGAACTAAGAAAAAAAAAAAGTGATTGCATTTCTGTTATTGGCGTTAATGTATGGAACAACCCGAGTGATGTTTTAAAAATGTCTAACACTGTAGAAGCCTTTAGAAAAGAGTATAAAGCATTAAGTTTTGAAACCTATAGAGCTCTGGAATGAATTATGCATTCAGTTTTGTTTGTCTGATGTCTGATGTTTTGGCATCTGAAGGACACAAGGAACAGAAATGAATTACATTACCTACATACACAAATCAGTTTTTAATACTTTCAACATTTTAAATATATCAAAATAAATAAAACAATTAAAATATTCCAATGTGGTTATATATAACATCATATTTCTTTGCAGTAACCTCCTAGTGTCTAATGTATTTAGTTAATATTAGATTAAGAATAAAATAAAAAAAATAATAAAAACGGTCCTCACATCTCAGTCCTAAAAGAAATACTCAATCTCTATTAATAATCTTCACATTAATTCCAATATTTACTTACTGCTCAAACATGAACAGATGCTAAAATAAAAACATTGGACCCACTGAATAATGAATTTATTTATTAGCAATAAATTAATATTTGAACCAACATGCAAACAAACATTCATAGAACTTCAGATGAGGCTTTGAGTTGAAATGTGTACGCGAAAAGAGACATTCTTTCATGCTTTTAAGGTTTGCAGCATTCAAACGTTCACAGTCCAGCCATCTGTGTTCAACATGCAAATTATAACATATATGATATCACCATATGTATTTATTTAATTATAACACTTTTTATAAACTTTTGTCAATAACTCCAAAAACAAAGGCTACGTTCAGACTGCAGGGCTTAACGCTCAATTTTTTTTGTGAAATCTGATGTTTTTGCGAGGTCGTTCACATTTCCAATTAAATGTGACTTGTATGTGTCTCCAGTGTGAACATTAAACGGGCCAAAAGTGTCCCACATGTGCACTGGAGACACGACGACGTCAACCGCAGCGAGCGTGCTCTGTGTTTATGGAAGTTGTCCAAACATGGACGCAGCATCGAGCACCTGGAGATTTTTAAGTTCCTCTCGTACCAGAGCCAGAACATTAACAACTTACTTGTTTTAAGGAGGAGATTGAGAAGGACGAGGTTTTTGGTCGTGGTGTTTTGTGGGACAGCGGCAGCGACGTCTGTTGAAAGGAACGTGTGGATGTGGAGACGCAGCCAAGAGTGGTGAGTGGTGATGTGCTTCACTTCAGTGACACGGAGTTCATTAACAATTTTCGTATGACGAGAAGAACATTTGTGTACATTTGTTGCTTGTTGAGAACGTTTAGGTCGGATGAATGCGCTTTGGCCGTTCAGACTGAAGTCGCATGTCAAAAGATCAGATATGTATCAGTTTCAGGAGCACAAATCCTGGGTCGCATTTGAAAAAATCGGATCTGTGTCGTTCAGACTGTCATTAAAAGATCAGATGCAGGTCACAAAGGGGCTAAAAAAAAATCGGATTTGGGTCACTTCAGGCTGCAGTCTGAACGTAGCCAAAGATATGAACCTTGACCTACTGACCACATGTAAAACTGACTGACTGTGTTGATAAAAAGGCATTAGATCCTTTTTAACCTGCATCAAAACAGTCTTCACATATTCTTATTCATATTTAATAACTGTATTTGTATCAAGAAACGGCAGTGCTTGGCAGAACAAAAGGCAAAAGTGTCCTTAAATAATAAAACAACAGTAAAATAACCTGGAGAACAGATGTTATTAAAAATGGGTTTAAAACGAGCAGCAGAACGGTTAGTCATTGGACCGGTTCAGGCTGCCCACTGCCCGAGCCCTCGGAGGAACAGCAGGGGGCACACTGCTCGATCATAGGCAGGAGTTTGCCCTGCTGATGGAGCTGCTTCGTGTCAGAGCCGCCCCCGATACAGTTCCCGTTGATGAACACTCTGGGGACCTGAGAGGAAGAGGAGGAGAATGAATGATTCACTGCAGAAAATTTACATTCATTAAACACTTCTGCCCACTGACCGCTACGGCCGGGGTCAGTGCCCGACGTGACCAGACTTTAGATAAATAATTTTTTTAGATTAGTTCTATCAAATTTACTCTTGGAATATAAAGTGTTACTGAGAAAACTTGCTCAAAGTCTGTGAAAAATGCATTTAAAGTGTTCATAAACGTTATCTGAGCAGAGCAGAATTAAGTAAAACAACAAACTTTTGGGATTGTTTCCATTTCTAAGAATAAACTCACAATAAAAGTGTCAAGCTTTGATATGAATACAATTAAACTTAGGCTGTAGCTACTAAAAAAGAGCCAAATGGTGCAATGATATCTGGCCTGTTAAAGCTGTGTTTGAATGGTTGAACACTAAGGATGCACGGTACTTCCCAATACTCCCTTAATATACTCGTACTCGTTTAACATTTGTCGATACCACTATTCCGGTTTCAGTATCCCGAATAAACCAGTATCCCGGTTATGAGAAACCAGTAGAAATTGTAAATAAAGAGACTGTACATGAGTGAAATGACTGTTTAATAAAGAGAGGTGCTGCACACGTACGACCTGCAGACTTATAACCTCAGAAAAGTTTAACATGAACCGTCTCCAACGCGATAAAAGCACAGAACAGACTCAGCATCAGTAGAACACCCCTCTGTCACAGAACACTCATATTCCACTGAGTCGTGTCCTTTAGTCCGACAGAAGCTGCAAGGAAAGAGCTTTTTTTCCCAGAGATTCAGTTTATGCAAATTAGCCATGTGGTTTTAAGTTTAGTTTCTGTAAAACGTAAACAAATGTGGGTAAAGCTGAATTAAACACATTCATGGCTGTTTGTGTTTTTCCTGGTTTATTAAATATATAACTTTTGCGCTTGTGTATTTGTACGATTATGTCAAGAAACAGGGATATTACATTTGATCATGTACACAGGGAAAAGCGCGCATGTAAACAGCAGATCCTCAATAATGCCATAACCGGGATACTGATGTGCATGTAAACCATAGACTGTATAAAAGCAGTGGACTAAGCGAGTGTGACGTCACCCGTAGCGTTCAGCGACGCTCAAATGAGGCTCGAGATGCTCACGGTTACAGTTGCGAATCTGGAGTTTGGATTTTTTGACGGACAAAATAGCGGGGAAAAAAATTAAGGTTCACGTAGAGCGGGTTAATATGAACATTTTAAGACCAAATTGACGAGGCTCACTGCTGCAGTTACAGAGAGAGGGACGACAAGATCTAAAATGTAAGTCAACTGGAGCCGGGGTCAGAAAGAGCCGGAAAAGCCTCCTGGCGAACTTCTTATTTGGCAAACGGTGGCTAGAGCATTAACTATGTCCACTCATATATATAAACTCTCATATATGTAAACGCACTCAAGTGTATGTTCATGGAGGTGGGGGTTAAAGGGCAGTCAGCTTTCGCACTCCTTGCTGCAAATAAAACCAACTACTGTGTCGTCTCTGGCTTGTTCTTTAACTCTTTCCCCCATGAAGACGACATTTGACGACCCCTCCTGAACCCTTAATGACGACTTATGACGACTTTTGACACCTCCGCTGTATCACTAAAGACGTGATTTGACGACCTTTAGAAACGGCTCGGTTTTTCACATTTAAACAGAGACTGTGATCGGTGGGGGCCACTACAACCCACACTAGACTGACCATTAGGATTCAAGGATATGTTTTCGCAGATTTTTTCCGAAGTTAATCGAAGTAGTGACGATGGTAGCTTCCGGAAAAAACACAACACGAAACACGTGCAATGGAAAGATCGCGCTGCGGCGCACAGTTTTGGAAATAATGAGGAGCGGACGTATTTTATGGATAAGTTTAGAGAAAGTGACTTTTATAGATTTCAAAGTGATGATGAGGGTGATTATAAAGTGGAAAACAGCGATAGCGACGGACTTACAAAGAGTGAATCTTACGAAGATGAGAATGCCGCTGATGCGTCTGTGTGGAGTCCTGCGATATCCGAACAAACTATCCGGGCTTTATACTCGATTATGAACCAAAATTGCCCTGAAATCACTCGTGGAAGTCTGTTTTCTTTTATGCAATTATGCTCTATGGGTGTAGCCCGAGTAACATATGTATGGGTTGTTCCTAGTCGGCGTCCAAGGGGAAAGAGTTAATGATTGAGTGTTTGAGTAAATTCCCTGACAGTATCAGTTTCGGTACTCAGCATTGACAAGTACAAAAATGATTATAGTCGTACTGGTTTTCAAAAACATAGTATCGGTGCATTCCTATTGCCTACTGTTCCACTACACTTCTTTCTCTTTATTGATGTGAAAGAAAGAGTCTTTACAAAAGGCAAACTTTGCACATCCTACTCTAGGACGGATGTACAACGCCGGACATACACTGTGCGATATTTTCGATCGTTTCACTCAGCTCCAGCTCAAGCTGTACGATCAAATCACAGGTTTAAAAAAGTTCACAGCTCACGATTCATGTTCTCACAAAATACGATTCGATGCTCGGTGCGAAAACCTCACGAGAGGCGACTGGATTTCAAACCGGTTTGATATTCTTGCGACCTACGATTGCCCATCGGAAGCTGGTCTTGAGGTATTACTCGGTTCTCTTTACCCCATGTTTACTACTCGAAGCACGACACACGATCAAGGGAAAAGTCGGCCCGATCCCAAAACCTGTCGCACAAGTGAAAAATTGGCTCAAAAAGGGCCAAAAATCTCACAGTGTACGTTTGGCTTTAGAGAGAGTACACACACCGCCTGCCAAACTTAGTAAATGTTTTATGATGAAGGCCAATAGCTGGAACGTTGCTGTTATTTTGTAAATAAGTTACGACAGTGTGTGAGACTTCTTTTCCAAATTACCAGCCTCAAATATCAGTAGAACTACTTTCGTGGCTATAGACGTTAAATATAGTTGCCTACTGAGTTCAACCTAAATTCTATCCAACTCTACCTTAAATTTGACTCCCTATATTTTGTCTTCTCTCCCAGCCTCAAATGTTTGGAATTGGACCAGGACGAGACCGGTTTTAATCTTATTTTAGACCTGGTTTAGTCCTTTTATAGACTCAAGTTTAGATGGTGTGTGATTTCAGAACCACTGGTCTGGAAATGAAATATATTGTTAAGATTTGCACTTCTCGCAACAACTGAAAAGCTGTACTGTCAGCTGTCTTGAATATTATTATTTTTTCATTATTTTGAGATCTAAATTCCACTATAAAGAGGCTTCCTTACAGTTCGAGCTCCGGTCATCTGGGCCAGAGCCTCCTGCAGTCTCCTCCCGTCGTCGTGCTCGTCCAGCTCGATGACTTTGTAGCGCGCTCCGATCTCGTTGAAGACGTTTTTGGCCATTTTACAGTAAGGACACGTGGTCTTCGAGAAGATCACCACGCAGTTCTGAGACACCACCTCCTGGAGAAACGAACAAGCAGAGTGGGAAAGCAAGAACAGACAATGGGCCAGATGAATACTAACAATGTGGTGTAAATATTGTGCTGCCGTGTCTGGCGAACTCTCGATGATAATTATTTTCAGTGTTTTGCGGTTTGCTCAGGACACTCCAAACACGCACATTATCCATTTAATCGCCTGTGTGAATCAGTTAACTCATAATGGATTCTTTTTTCAAGGCACTTTAAAAGACTTTTTGTGTGGACAGAGCGAATAATGACGACAGTTGAGAGCACGTCGACAGGCTTTGACAAAACATGTGGACTATTATTCTTAAGTGTGGGTGAGTCTTTGTTTGACCAGTGACTGTCACTGTTTGGTTTTCAAACTTTCTGTTGGTTAAATCCATGATCTTGTTAATCTGTGTGAGGCGACTGCTTTTGTAACTTTGGGCTCTACAAAAACACATTCAATTGAAGCAGGAATTAAATGATTTTAGTCGTAGTAAAATAATAATAGTACTGTAAATTCCGGACTATTGAGCGCACATCAAGCCGCATCAACTAAATTTTAAAATTGTACATACCGTATTTTCCAGGCTATTAGGTGCTTTGGATTATAAGACACACTGTCATTAAATGGTCTATTTTCGAACTTTTTTCACAAATAAACTGCACTGGACTTTGAATGGGTGAGTTGTTTTGTTTGTTTGTTCGTTCACAGTGACTCTGGGCTTTGTTCAGTTGTGGCGTGTAGGGAGGTGCTGTCTGGGACCAACGGATTGTCGGCGTGTTCGCAGTGACTCAGTTGTTCAGTCGTGTCTAGAAGCGGCACATTGCGCTCGATTTTTCGGTTCGTTCCTCCGTTCCGTTCCTCGTCGCCGTGGAGTGATGAGTGTGTCTGCGGGTGTTTTTCGAATGACCCGTATGTGTTAAATGCAGGTGAGTGCATGAAGGACGAGAAGAAACATCTCAAACTTCAGCAGTCTGACATCCACTCATACTTGATCGATACGCTTATGAAATCCTACAAGACGCTGACATGATACAGACAGGACAGAGGCTCATTTTGCAGGAAACATGCGCAGAAGTGACGTAGTCTGATAATCCTGTTGTAATCCTGTCATTTAACTGCCATGTGACAAACAGTTTGGAAAAAGCATGCACCGGTATTTAATTAATTAAAAATAAAATCTGTGTACCATCTGTCTGCGTAAATATCTCAAGTTACAACCTGGACACCTGTGGCTTATAGACAGGTACACGCACATGTACAATTTTTAATTTTCTTTTTAAATTTAGTTGACGTGGCTTATATTCAGGTGCGCTCAACAGTCTGGAAATCACGTTAAGTGCATATTGATGAAATTCAGAAACTGATTTTGATCTAATTATGCTTCGGTTGTTGTTATAAAAGGTCATTTTGTGTGTAAAAATTAAGACAATCAAGATACAATATTAGTTTTTTTTGGTCGACCTGCCACATTTTAGTCTATTAATTATTGCAGCCTTAAACTGAACAGAACTGCCTTTAAGAGAAAGTTTGTGAATTTTGATGATATAATGTAGGGATTTGATCACAATTAAACTGTTTATCCTAGAACATCCGTGCATTTTCTTACCTGGACGTACTTCACGCACGCCGTGGTGGACGCGGATGTAGACGTAGAAGTAAAGTTCCCCATTCTGAAAAACACAATTCAGCAGCTCTTATTAGACCAAAGTTAACCAGTGAAGCCGTTCCCACACCACAATGCACAATCAATGATCAAGTCTATGGACATCATGCATGAATTAACCTTAGAAACGCGAAGACATCACAAGAGGCAATGCAGACGAACAAGGTCAAAAAGATCTGCAAAACAAAGACTCCGTTTGAGAAGGCCATTGTTAGATATTTGATATGTAAACGTGGAGTGGAGAAGTGGAGACGAGAGGGTTGCTTCAGGAAACACTAATCCTGGATTAACTCACACGAATTACAAGCAGACACAAAGAGGAGGTGATAGTATGAAGAGGAAAGCCTCGCCACGCTTTGAGGGAACAATGCAAGCTCCGATAGGCTGGCATTTTTGTAGTTTGCAGCCAAAAAAACCAAAACAACAGTCAATATGAAAATTTGACTGGTAGCATCGAGCACAAACAGATTCGATTTTGAACAGTTTGTAACTTTTTTTAGCCAATAAAAGACAAAAATAAAAGCATGTGTTTTTCATTTTGGCTGAATTTATTGGACTGAAAAACATCTTTACTGTGAGTGGGCTTGCATCTCCACAAACCCGACTCTTATTTGGCTTGGAGGAGGAGGGCCTTCATCTGCTTGTTTCCATGGAAAAGTTGTTCCTCTGGCTCTAATTTTATTCCACACTGGCCACGTTTACATGATATTTTTGAATTCTGAATTAATTGTTCTGAATTAAAATATTCTCCTTCAAGTTTACATGGAAAACTTGTTAAATCGTCTTTATTTAATTCCACTCAACGTCTGGGGGTGGATAAGGGTTCTGATTGGACAGACATGAACGTATTTACGTCAACCGGAAGAAAACACTCGGTTTGTCATTGCGCCACGGACACAAACACGATCCAAACTTTTTCCGCAGTTGTTTTGATGATAATTGCGCAGCAGCTGGGGAATTCTCTCATCACGTTTTACGTCTGTCAGCTGAGGAGGAGAAGGGAAGCGTGACGGAAAAGGGAGGAAGAAGACAAACTGAGTCCACGGCAGATCTACCTCAGCCCACTCCCGCATCCCGCTCGCAAATCCAAAGAGACGTGGATGAAAGTCCGAAATGAGGACTAGTGGTGCCGGATCATCCGGATCGCGTCAGAAGGGCGACACAACGAACATGCACTGAACCACAATCCGTGTATCATTCGTTCATTCGTTTTTCAATATAAAACCAAAAATAAGAAAACGAAAAAACAACTGTTTTCTTCGTTATTTGTCTCCAAAACCAAAATGAAAAAACGGATAACGATTCGTTTTTTCAGTTTTCGATTTTGTGTTTAAATGAAGAATGGAAAAAACGTATAACGGCCGTTTCCCGTTTACGTGACTTCCGTGACTGCGATGCCGAACTTTTGCACTGGGTATGGACTAAACTAGGACTGATCCAGGTCTGAGACCAGACCGGGACTAGAGCGGGACCAGACCAGTACCAGAGCGGGACTGGGGCGGACTCCAAGCTTTGACTCTGAGCCTCCGCGGGGTCCAAGCCTCAGCTTCGAGCTCCGGCCCTGTCGTGGGCTCTGAGCCTCCGGTCTGGTCTCGGTCTCAGTAGCGCTCTGGTCCCGGTCTGGTCCCGGACCTGGTCCATTTGAACCAAAAGCTCTTAGTTCAGTTCGTTTTCGTTGGTGTGAAAGCGTCAGTTGGATGCTTTGCACCACCTCGGAACCAGCCGCGGTTCTTGAGCACGGAGGACCAGAGCAGCCCGTCCGGACCTGTAGTCCACAGCACATTCTCACTTTCCCCGCACGGAACCAGCGCGGAGACGATGACACGGAACCGCTCGGACCGCTGGTCTCGGTCTCAGTTCCGCTCTGATCCTGCTCTGGTCCCGGTCTCAGTCCCGCTCTGGTCCCGGTCTGGTCTCGGTCTGGTCTCGGACCTGGATCAGTCCTGGTTCAGTCCGTACGCGGTGCAAAGGTTCAGTATCGCAGTCACGGAAGTCACATAAACGGGAAACGGCCGTTATCCGTTTTTTCCATTCTTCATTTTAACACAAAATCGAAAACTGAAAAAACAAATCATTATCCGTTTTTTCATTTTGGTTTTGGAGACAAATAACGAAGAAAACAGTTGTTTTTTTGTTTTCTTATTTTTGGTTTTATATTGAAAAACGAATGAACGAATGATACACGGATTAACCACCAATATTATTTTTAAGAAGAATAAACATTTACATGTTCAAAGACTAAATTAATTCAGCTTTAAAATTGGAATAAACCAGCCACTTACTTTGGAATTAAGTTTAACTCTGTATAATCATTTTTATTTGGAATTAAGTGTTTCCATGGTCTTTTTAAAGCAGAATAATTTTTATTCAGAATTAAAGCTCTCATGTAAACTTGGCAAATGTGGCATAAAACAAATCTATCTCCACGGAGAATGTCCCAATGTTCCTACTTCCATGCAGTCATGCAGGTCACATGCCACCACATCTTTTTCGGTGAAGACTGTGGCACCTACAGTATCTACTCAACAGTTCCAGACATAAAAATTCCTTCTTGATTTGAAATATTTAACTTGGCCACTGTTCTTTGTTGTCATAATTATTACAACCACTGATAGATGGAGCAGTCAGGGGGACGATATTTAATTTTGAGTATTTTTTTTCTTTGGACTAGTGCACTAAACTTGCATAAACTTGCAAGTGTTGCATTCTAATATTTGTTTTTTAGTTACATTTTTAACCATACAGATAGAATACTTTTTTGGAGGGATTGGATTTTGCTTTATGGTTTGGTTTCTATATTATCATTTATGATAATATAAAAAAGTGACATAATAAGTATTTACTTCCTCCCACTCCTTTTCAGACACAAGTAAAATCTGCGTGACATCTGTTTTTATTTACTGTTATGGAAAAGAAGATAATTTTTGTATTATATCTATGTATTTACGTTGTCTATGCATGTTCTTTGCATTACTGTCCGAATAAACTCATTCATTCATCATCAATTTTACAAAAAAAATATATCGCACTTCAAAATGTGTTATCACGACAGGCCTAGTTGTTATAACTCAAACCTAAACATTATGAGGCCTTCACAAAATCCTTCAAATCAGGAAGGAATCGTTTGCCTGAAACCCATGAATCAACACGCGAAAACAAGCAGGTGCCAAGTCAGATCTGTGGAGAAGCAGCCCCCCTTATACTAAGACTTTCCTAAGGTATTCTGGAGCTCTACATGTGAAACGTAATAAATGTCAAGTAGAAATGTTTAACGACACACTGTGGAACATCCAGACAAAGCAATGGCATCTCCATGGAGACAAACAGATTGCTGATCCCAACCATAGACTCTATACAAATGGACATAGCGAACCCACTATCCAAACAGGAAGAGAACATGGGGGTGTTTCCTGTTCCATCAATTCTGGCCCCAATTGACTTTACGTTGAAAAATCGTCGGCCCTCTCTGTTACTGCTGCTGTGAGCATCGTCATTTTCGTCTTAAAATATTTGCATTACCCCGCTCTACATGATCCTGGTGTTTAGGCCTGTAACGATAATCAATAAATCAATTAATCGTACGATAACTTTTAACGTGCTTGATCATTTTTCCGGCCGCGACAAACTCTATTTATCGCGGCCGCTGTCTGTGCGGTGAACATGAAGCACAAGCAAGCGCCGTTGTCAGAACCAAAAAGTTCATCGCAGAGTGGCAAAACAAGTCACGATGCCGAATCAACACCGGTGAGAAACACAAACGACGAGAAGAAATGTCTCAAACCCCAACAGCCGATATAAACCCAAAACCCGAGCGACACAAACTAGCCCCGCCCCCGGGATGACCAACACGACACAGACAGGACAGTGGCTCCCTCATAGCGAAACTGGATCAGGTTAATACGAACACTTCAAGACCAAAATGCAGAGGGTCACAGCAGCAGCCACAGAGAGAGTGTCCACTATACACCAATGTAAGTCAGTGACTAAAATCACTTTTAAGGGCAATTTTGTTACAGAGACTTAATAATTCATTTTATTTATTGCTTTGGTTGTGTTTGGTTCAACAGTGGTTTGTTCAAGTCCATTTTTGTTATCAAGTCCTACCTGTCAGTCAGACTACATAAGGCTATTCTTATGTTAACAAGTTTTATTGTTTTTGGTTGTCTTACAGTTCCTGTGTTAAATGTTCTTTAGAAAGTAAGGTTTGTTGATCTTTGAAAGGGTGTATTTGCATTTTTATTCCATGGTCATTATATTAGTTGAAATTGGTCTCAAAATGTCAACATTATCGTTTATCGCAATAAATTCTTGGTCAATTAATCGTCCAGCGAAATCTGTTATCGTTACAGGCCTACCGCTGTTTTAATTTTTCTATTATGTTTGTAAAATAAATTCCTATTCCTAATGTGGAACCGCTCTCTATAATCGCTGGCCTCGTGAGCTGCAGCTGAACGCTACGGGTCAAGGGAAGGTGACGATCTGTCTCTGCTACTTATCTGAAGGATTTTTGCCTGTTATTTTGCCAAACGTACATTTTTTAAGTTGAATAGGGAAACATGATGAGCCTGAAGAAAACCTAACCATATATACAGTCATTTTTTAATACGTTTAGCTGTTTATATTTCAGTCTACTCTCAAATAATGCTTCTAGCTGTTAAAATCCATTTCCAGTTGAACCATAATAAAATACAGTAATCTTGTGTTATAGATAAGATCATTAACACAATGTGTTTATCTTCTAGACTGACTTTTGAACCTTGGGGACAAATGGACTGCGTAACATCTGTTTTATGAAATTGCACTTTTAAAGGAAAATTTTAACAATAACACTCTGATTTGATTAAGTTTTTAGCTACTCTCCTCCTACTATGACCAAGTTTATTGAGCAAAATTAACATAGACACTGTTAATTACTCGCAGTGTTGGGGAGTAACAGATTACATGTACCGGAGTTACGTAATCAGAGTACAAATTATGAGTAACTGTATTCGGTTACACTTACTGTTTCAGTGATTGGTAATTAGATTACAGTTACTTTGTTGAAATAAATTGATTACACGGCGGTATTTTCCTGTTTTCACATTTTGAGCTATATCCCCCCCCCCTTTTTTTTTCCCTGTAATTCCACTCATTGCCGAAACTAAACCAAGTCTAAACCAGGACTAAACCACAACTAAAGCAGGTCTAAACTAGATCTAAACTAGACCTAAGCCAGGACTAAAACCAGGTCTAAACTAGATCTAAACCAGGACTAAAACAAGGTCTAAACTAGATGTAAACCAGGTCTAAAACAGGTCTACACGAGGTCTAAAACCAGGTCTAAACCAGGACTAAAACAGGCTGTGTGGACCATGTCTCCTCCTCTTCTATCAATAATATTTTGAATTTGGTTAAGCAAAGTCTGGGCTTTTCATTTTCTTTTATGAGACAAAACATCTTATGTGAAGATTTCCTCGTCTTTGCTTCTCTACAGCAAACCAAGTAATCCAAAGTATTCAGATTACATTACTCACTTTAAATAATTTAATGAATTCCGTTACAAACTACATTTTGGAGTATGTAATCTGTAATCTGTAGGGGAATACATTTTAAAAGTAATTTTCCCAACACTGACTACTCGTAACATGCAGAAAGAGTAATTACGTGACATTAATGGACATTAGGTAACACAATTGACAGCAAATCTAGCTAAATTACGTACAAAATCCGAGGTGATTATTATCAAAATTTTAAATATAACTAACAAATGTAAATGAATTATTACGAGGCGATTATTTATTTGGTAATGAGACCGATTAAACGTGCGATGATCAGACCGGTGTGAAGACGCGGCCGGCGGGAATGACCTTCTGCTACAGCCGCTCCAAGCCGCTCCGATCCGGGCAAACATCGACCAAAAGCAACAGAAGGAAACAAAACGGTGGAAGTTATGCCGGAGATGAAACATGCGGTTAGTTTGGCCCCAGGGCGGAGAGCAGGAGCGGCGGTGTCGGGCGCGGGGGCTCACTTTTCCACGCGTTTAATCCTCTGTTTACGTCCCCGGCGTGGAGCGGCGCAGCCTGCCCGATCTGCGCCGGAAACACAAGCTGGACGCGGAAGTAGAACAGCGAGAGAGAGCGACATCTGCTGTCAGCGAAGGAGAAATGCATTGTAGCGTTTTTTGAATTTTTGTGTAGTAATACAATATTAGGAAATTAAATTAAGGAAGAATTAAAGGCTAAATGAGAACAAAGGAACAAGCTGTTATGATTAGATCTTTTAGACTGTGAAATTAAAATATCAGCAAAAGTATTATGTGCTTTTGGTTTTTATTTTAATTTGGAAAATTGAATTAAAGACAGGTTGAACATAGTGCATACACTGTATAAACCAGCTCCACAGATATGTTCTTACTAAAATTCAAATCAAACTTATTGAGAGAACGTGTATTGTCACTATGTTATCATAGTATATCACAGTATATGATAACATAGCGCACTGAGCTGCCGTGTGCCAAATAGGAAGTTTGCCAGGAGGCTCTTCCGGCTCCTTCTGACTCAAGCTCCAACCCCTCTCTCTGTAACTGTTGCAAAGAGCTTTGTCATTTTGGTCTTAAAATGTTTGTATTAACCCACTCTACATGATCACTATTTTGTCCATCAAAAAAATAGCTCGGTTGGAAGAGGTGGGCCAAAGCACGGCACGGTTGCTATTACCCCAGTCACTGCTCACACATGTGCTCTGACACACCAAACGTTACACATTAACTGTAACTATTCTCTTTAAAAATGGTAGTGGCAAAAGGATCAAGATGATCTGATGGAGAAGTAGATGCACTATTACAAATTTGGACAGATGAAAATATCCAAAACGAGTTGGATAAAACTAATAAAAAACACTGTTGTGTGAGGGAAGATCAGCGAGGAGCTCAGCCTGAGAGGGTTTAACGGTTCAACAGAGCAATGCAGGGACAAACTGAAAAAAACTCTGCAGCCAGTATCTAAAAATAAGGGATGCCCTGAGGAAATCAGGTAGCTCCTCAGAAGAAAATGAGAAATTTCTGTGGTTCAAGACCATGGATAACATACTCTGCAGCGAGCCCTGCAGTGCACCCACAGTAATGGAGTCGGCATCCTCCAGGGACAACAAGTAACAGGCACAGCGTTATGGGTGGGCCTGATGGTCCCAGGCCAAAACTTTTCTTTAAAAAAAAAACAAAAAACTTCATAATATATTTTAATTTTAGTCAAGACTGACATTTGTTTTTGTTTTTTTTTAAAGAAAAACGCTGGTTATGTGGATGTTTCTGCGTCAGTTCATCAGACGGTGCCAGACAGATGGACCGCCGTGGCTCTTCCTGCACTCAACTGCTGTGTTGACAGACAAATAATCCGTCTATACATCACTTGTTGTTATGCCAGGCTACTGACCTGAAAATCATTTCCAGTAAAGGACAGTGTTACAGCCGTCCTTGTTTAGGTACCTTAAATGTACACGAGTCATTGCTGCAACAAAGAGATGAAGGAGATGTTGGAGAGCTGAGACCTGGGCACATCTTCTTCTCTGCCACCCCAGGAGCTAGTGCAGCTAGTGCGACCCTCACTGATGTGAGTGCCTCTGCCTGTGCCTAACGAGTGGATCATTGTCCTCCTGGTGCCCTAGACACAATATGGACTGGCCGGTTAAACTCTGCTATTCCGACATGCCGCTATTTAGACATTGACGTCTAATTGTCAGAGTAGCAGCATAAACGTTTTTCAATCGTTCCACAACCTTCACTTTTTTTCCATTGTCGGAATAGCGGCACTTTACCATCTTTTAAACATTCCGCTTTTATGACATGAATAATATTATTGTGATAGCCTATTATACTTCATGCTTCCATACATCATAAGATGTTTGGGCCCGTGCAAACACTTTAATGAGAGAATACTTAGGCCACAGAGGATATCAGACGGTGGGAAAATGTCCTAACTGAGCCGTGGGAAACAGTCATGGATTTTAAAAAAGAGCATGAGCCAGGTTTGGAAAACCGGCACGTCTAAATAGAGACATGTCGTAATGAAGGGATGTTGGAAAAAGCGACGGACCCCGGACTGGACGTATCTTTCAGAATTAAGTGGGAAGTATGATTAAGACTAGTTTATCCACCAGCTCATGCACTTGGCTCCCAGATGCACATCGCAGAAAAACTGGATGGGGAATTAGACCATGGTTTCATCTCTTCATATTGGACAATAATACACTTTTGGAGACAGAACCAACAGCAGAGCAACAGTTCACTCTGCTTCAGTTCTCTGGAGAAGGTAAGAGACTTGTTTTAGTTTTTTGCCCCCTAACACGTGAAAGACATTAGTTTACCTCTTTACCTTAGTGTTTAGGTTTTCATTGTCATTGGTCACATAGACGACATACAGACAATGTAATTCAAGATTTATCCATAAACAATGGATGGGAAGACGCTCAAAACTTCAGCAGTGTGTCAAGAAAAGAATAGCCTTTGCCATTTCATAGAAATTCATACAAAGTGTAAGTCTGTAAAGCTGCTGCTGTAAAATATTATTCCTCATGTGATGCCAGTTTGTTTTGATGGTGCTTGCTGGGATATGATTGACATGTCTTAAATCAATAGACGGTTTATAGGAGTCAGTCAGAGGCTGTTGGTTGGTGTCTGTCCAACTGAGGCACAGTCATGTTCTGAAGGAAGACGGTTCATTTAAAACAAGAGCATGTGCGCAGGATTTTACATTTAAAATGAGACAGCATTTGATCCAAATGAATAAAATACCAATTGATTTCTTTATTTTAGAGGCTTATATTTATACACTTGTTAGTCTGTTACTCCCACATAAAAGGCTAGAGCCTACACATTATTTTATGATTATTTACATACCCTATTAACCAACTGTTTTAAACAGTCCATTAGTGTTGATTTTTAATTAATTGTGTTTTAATGGACACATGAGACAGTGTGGAGGAGATGGATGAGGAGTCTTCTACCAGTGACAGCGGCACAACACCATCTGTGGGAAAAAAGGAAGAGGGAATCTGATGATCCTGAGGGAGCCATTAAGGTCTTTACAGAAGAGCAAAGAACACAGCAACAAGAATTTCTGCAGACTGAAGAGCAGCAACATCTTCAGGAGATGGAGATGTTCAATCCGTGGACCTCAACCCAGAAGGAGCTTGAAGAACATTGTCGTTTGGAGACCCAGACCATGGTCCAGCAGTGTCACCTTCTCCCATTCAGTCTGCACCAATGCCACAGAGAACCTCAACTCTGCAACATTTCCCCTTTGCTGAAGACTTGCTCCAAATTCACATCAATGATGTTCATAACCTCTAAATGATTGAATTATTTATATGAACTTTTGCACTTTTAATACTGTTTCATATTTCATGTTTGTTTGCACTTGAATAAAAAACATTTAGTTACATTTCAAACGGTTGAGTTTATTGACATGTTAACAAGTAGATGAATAAATTCCACTTACATAAACAGAAAACCCAGAAGGCAAATAATTAAAGGCAAAGGCTGCAAATATTTTGAGATAATTACCTCCTATAAAAACAGAGGCTTATTTTCCAAAACTTCTAGAATATAAATGACAAGAAAAATATTTAAATAATTACTCATAAATTACAACAAATGAATGTAAATTGGGTCAAGAAATTTACCTTAAATAGAGGAGACCGGGGATGGTTGTCACACTTTTTACTTAAATTTAATTTCTGCAAAAACAAGTATATGGCAAGAACACCCTTTCTGACATATTTAATGCTTGATGTGTCCAATTGAATCCTGTAGAATGTAGGTATTGATAGGTATTGATCCCGGTTATTTATCCACTCTAACGGCAGAGGACCGAAGACGATTTGACCAGAAATTGGTCATAAGCATCGACGGACGCCAAATCACTCTTTTCAACCCCGACAAAACCTGGACCAAACCAAATTTCTGGTCGGAATCGCCAACTACCTGGACAAATATTCACTTTGGCGATATCCACAATGACTTGGTGGAAACTCCTGGGCCATTCACAGCAGAAAAGATGAAAACCTCCAAGAGTCTCGATGTGTTGTTGAACTTGTTGGAGTCCACGGTTTGTTAGGATCTTCTACGTTTGCTCTGCGGATGTTTGAAAGCTGTTTAATTCGCCGTTAGCAGTTCTTTTCACTCAGAATATGAAAAAGACATTTTCCTTCTTCCTTGCTTCTATTTGTGCATCCGATAATGCAGCAGGAATTTGCCATTATCGGGGATAAATATGCGAGGTTACGCACTGTGTTTGACGCTATCGTGTTTCTTTTAATAACAATGACGTCAGCTGAAACTCGCCTATACTGCGATCACAATGTTAATCAGAAAAACAACCCTTTCGCCCAGTTTGCACAGCCATAAAAACATCAAATTCAAATGGTGTGAAAATATTCACAGAGTGTATCCCTGACGATAGAGGATGTTGTTTGGAGGGAAATTGTTACTTCACTCTCCCTTGTGTCCTCCTCATTTGGACCATCTTCATATTCTTCTTTGTGATCTTCTCAAAAGTTGTGAAGAACACAGCAGACAGCAATGATTTTAGAGAAATGACAGTCGTATTTTTCATGAGGCAGCGCCACCTTTCCTTTAGGAGACTGAAGGCCTCTCCACAGTCACTCGAGCCCAGTTCAGACAAAGATTAAATGAAGCTGGAGTGATGGTGTGGTTCTCAGGGTAGAGTTTCATAAATCTGGGGAGGAAGGGAATGGCTGCATCCCCAAGAATTAGGACAGGCACTGGTCGGTCCACCTTTCCAAGCCTCTCAGTTAAGTTGGGGAACAATGAGGAGCTCCCAATAGAGATGCGCGGATTGCGGTTACAACCGCGGTATCCGTGGTTAATCTGCGGGTCGGGCGGATGACGTGACGAAAAATTATATTTTAATTAAATTCGGGCGGGTGGTGGTTTAACTACTAAAAAAAAAAAAAAAAAAAAGTTATTGTTAGTTACCTACATCTGAAAAGACGAGTGTCATTGTCTATGCTTGTAGTATGAAGTGTACGTCATGTCCTTAATTAGCCCATTTGACCTCGTT